AGAAAAATATAAGTTTACTACTTACAAAAATTAAGGAAAAGAATTACAAAAATAATAAATTAGTTGAGAAAAATGGAGAAAGAACTGACAAATATACACAACAGTTAAAGACTAATTTTTTTTCTATAAGTAAATTGTGAAGTTTCTACTTTTTTTTTATTTCTTACCCACTGGACTATTTAAAAAAAATGTTGAAGATGGTTTATAAAAATATAAACGAGGGATATGAAAAACAATTTACTTTTAACGAAAATAAGGAATTTACAATGATTGTGAGGCCTAGGTAAACTAACTTATCTAGTAGTAAGATAACTCTCCCTATCACTTCTCGTGATTGAACCCTTAATTTTCGGATTTTTGGAAATTCGCCAGACATGCCCATCAGTACTTAAATCAGAAAGTCAATTGTGCCTCGGAATGTAATTCCGAATGACCGTGTAGGGTCTCCTTAACCTGCAATTTTTACTTTCACTTATGTACATATGAAATAATAATATCGCCGTGAAATTGCGATCGTGAAAATTTTCGAATCTCAGTTTTCAACGGAAATACGTGTTTTGAGGTCCCCTGAGTCCAAATAACCAAGTGTCGCAAAATGGTCTGTGTGTGTGTGTGTGTGTGTGTGTGTGTGTGTGTGTGTGTTGTGTGTGTGTGTGTGTGTATGTGTTAACAGTCTAGCTCATAAACGAAAAGTAGTACGAAACTAGTATTTAAGGTTTGTATATGGGCCGGATGTGACAGTAACTTTTTCGTTAAAATCGGCTAACCGGAAGTGCCACTTTATATGAACGCTGAAACACATTTTTAAAATTTTCTCAAAAATGGCTCTAACGATTTTGATTAAACTCAGTATCATTGTATAATTAAGTGGTCTTTAATATCATTTAAGTCTTATCCCCGTTGATGTCACTTTACAGAGCTTAAATGCCCAATGCTCATATGCATCTTTCTCTGAAGTACCTTTAATATGGTTTATTTTAAATAATCAATTATCTCTCATTATCAAAAGTTATGAAAAAATGCTAACTATAACTTTTGAAAGAATTTGATAATTGAATAAAGGAGAAAAAAATAAAAATGCCTATCCAGTGCGAAAATGAATCTCTGGAAATACTAGTCCGAAGATATAATATATCGTTGGAAAGCGGAGAATTTTATAAAAAAACAATATCGAATATAGAAAGTTGTAACAGGAAACAGAGATTGGCAAAAAAATTATAAATAATATTTTTTGAAAACTAATAATATTCAACGTAAATCATATGTTTTCAAGGAAATTAAATAAAATTTATTAACTAAATGCAACCTTTTAAAATATTTTTAAGTTTGAAAGAAATATTTAAGATCCACCTAATAAAGGCAATGACATTGTTTAAATAACTATTTCATTGTACTTGTGTGAAAGAACAAGTAAAATATAAAATCATTTCATGCATAAATTTATAACCTTAAATATATTTACTATAGTTTAATAATTTTATTACAATCCATAATCAATTGATCGTGCAATACATGCTCAACGGATCGTACAATCCATAATCAACCGGTGATATAATAAATAGGGTTTTGGTTATTTTAATGGTATTTATGATTTGTTAGTTGTATTTTTTTAGCTTCAGCTCAGTTAAAAGTGCAATTCAAAAATTTTATAACAGCCCGATATGGCCAAACATTATTTCTATTCAAAGTTTAGCGGTAAGTGAAAGTTGTGTGTTGCCCTCACCAGATTTTTTTATTTACAAAAATGGTCAGAAATGAGGCATTTTCCATCTGGAGACCGGTATGCTTCGTCTATTTAATAAGTTACCAAAAAGTGTTGAACACTCATTTACTTTCCACTTAAATCGTAAGATAATTTTATCTCAAAATCGACAACAAAGATAGCCTAAAAAAATATTGGGCCGTTTGGCGTGACCTCTAACTCCAAAATGACGAAATAATAGGTTATACAAACTAAATATCCCATATTTTTAATCCCCTTTTTAATTAAATTTGTTATCAAAATATCTTACGATTCAAGTAGAAAGCAATATTAAGACATGAGTACGATATAGTTTTCAGTACCTCATTATGTTATCATTATAATGTTACTTTATAAAAATTTAATTACACATAATTATCCATTTATGTACAAATCTCAACGGAAGTGAATCAATTTAAGTATAGTCCTTCGGAGAGATGTAGTAGTGTATTTTTTTAGGCATATGGTGCCCCTTCAATGGCGTCATCTTCCTCCTAAAAAAATTAACTTTATTTCTTAAGTTGTTTTATATTATGTAATTAATTTTATTTCATTCGACATTTATCTGAAACAGTTAATAGAGTAGGCTTTATTAATAGCCTAAAATTAATTATTTTTATATTTTTTGAAAATTCGTAATATGTGGCGAGCTATCGAAGAAATATGAAATAACCACCGATATGAAATCATGTTTAAGTAGTCCTCGGATGCCACAAAAAAACAAAAAAAAAAAGATAATTGCAGGAATCATAATATTTTTAGAGATAAATTTCTTATATATTTTTTTTATACATGCTTAAATTTTGTATCTGTATATAGTTTACAAACACAGTATATTGTGATTGTTTAAGTATTTAGCCTATATCACTCACATAAACAAATATGGGACAATGAAAAATAATACATAATTTTCTACTTTGGAGGGAGGGAAGGGCTTCAGCCCCAAAGCCGCCATTGTATATAATTTTTGCCATCATCCGCCATGTTAGTGACCGGAAGTACAGATATTCCGCACCCAATTGTGTATTGTAAATGAAGATGGAAGAATGCAGAAAGAGCTAAGAGAAAAATGATATAAATATGAATAAAATTTAAAGGATTGGATCTCTAAAACACCTTTCTTAACAAACTATTAAAATGATTACTTCGATTTCTACTCCCTTTTTCCCACGTTGAAATGCCGCTTTCTACTGTTGATCTTTATAAGATGTATAATTTTTTTAAATATTTTCTTCCTATCCTTAGGAAGGAGTAAGTTCTACTAGCTTTTATAAAGCAAAATATAAAGAATTTAATTATACATTCATATTCAGCAGAGTAGTGTAATGCGAAGAGGAATGGACGCGATGGTGAGTGATAGGGTGTGATGCTCCATTGTGTCATCCAACAATTTCGAACAATAAGCAATCTAATGAGCTACAGCCTTTGTTTCTATACTATCTAGATCAAAACACTATAAAATGCTTCACTGCGAACCGTAATTGATTTCTTTTGAAAATGTGGCGCATTCGTCGGCTTGTTATATTGAGTTATGTTATTACAGTTTCGCTCAATGCCAGAATAGTTGTAAGTACTTGAGACCGAAAAGTGAGAGCTTATCATACATTTCAATTATTCAAAATATTACAATCTTTTAAGTCTTTACTTACAACATATCTTCACTTACAACGTAACTTTGAATGAAATGGAGATACTCATACACTGTTATTCGAAATTCCTTCTTCGTCTTATAGCTATCTATTGTAATTTAATGAAATTCCGATTTAAGACAATTAACAATAAATAAAAACTACACTAGTTGGTCCTCAAAAATATGTCTCATGTCATATTTATCAGTCACAAAATGAGAATACAATATGGAAATAAGTAAATGCAATTAATTTTTGAAGGGATTGAGTTAATAATTTTTTTTATGATAGATTATAAAGGATAATTATTGAAAAATAATTAATTAAAACACGCTTATAAATCCCAATTTCGATGACTTTTTACGTATTTTTGTATGGAATTTGATCATCTTTCAAATGATAATTCAACAATTTATATACTTTTTGATTAATGCTAAATTAAAGTTTTATTTTCTTAAACCCTTTTTCTGAAAGATGTCTAATTTTTGTAAATGCGGAAACAATAATCTTCAGAATGATTGCTCAATAATTAGTTTTCATGAAATGCCTACTATGGCGTACTAAAAAATACCTTTGAGAATTCTGTTTTTTTTTTCTATCTTTTTTTTATTTGCTGTTTTTTAACATCGCATCGACTGCCATGGTCATTAGCGACGATCTTTCTTCTTAAATATAACTTATTAATTTTATTAGTCGAATTATTAAATTCAGTTTGATTGTTATTACTTTCACTTACCTACATATGTAATATATATTAAGGGTAAATACAATCCATAATCAACGAATCGTACAATCCATAATCAACCGGTGATATAATAAATAGGACTTTTGTTATTTTAATAGTATTTATGATTTGTTAGCAGCAATCTTTTAGGTTCAGCTCAGTTAAAAATGCAATTCAAAAATTTTATAATAGCCCAACATGACCAGAAAATAATTTCTATTCAAAGTTGAGCGGTGAGTGAAAGTTGTGTGTTGGGGGCATCAGATTTCTTAACATCGCATCGACTGCCCTGGTCATTAGCGACGAACTTTTTTCTTAGATATAACTTATTAATTTTATTTGTCGAATTATTAAATTCAGTTTGATTGTTAATTTTTTTTTTTAAATTTAATACAATACAGTTCTATGTTGTGCTTAATGTTTACATTTATTACCTCTAAATATTCTATGAAACTTTTAATCCATTTTCTTATTTTTTTCTCTTTTTTCTTGGCTCAACTATTAATTATGGTATGTAATTTGGTGTTTTTATCTCTTCTAAAAAGTTATTTGTAAATTTATTTTCAGAAAATTTTAGCTTATTATTAATCAGAAATTAAATGATTCGTCAGAAAATGAGATAAGCGTCTCGTATCGTCAGTTTGGCTGCTTATGCATTAAATCCTGTCTGCCAAACATGTTTTTACGTGAACTCTAGCTAAGTTCATAGTGATAATAGTTACATAATTTTCAATAAATATAATCGAGTTGCAATGTAGGTATTATTCCAAAATTAGTGTATAATAATCAATCAAAGACATGCAATACACAAATTTCATTGAAACATATAATTGATCAAATATTTGTTTAGGAAGAAAACCAAGTAAGAATTTTGAAAATCCAAGATTGCCCGAAGACTAACTTTCCAATGAAGTACAACACAAGTGTGCTACAGGTTGGTAAAGGAAGTCTTGTGATAGATGGATCTATATCTCTTACAGAAGAGATTAGAGACATAACTCTAGTAAGTATTTATAAACATGTATACAGTATATATACCCTAATAGTATATAGCTCTAACATATATAATCTATTTACGGTTTGTGCCGTTCTGGGCAAATAATTTTCAGACGCACGAGCGCCTCTTCCACTTTTTATGTTCTTTCCGCATTTGAAAGTAAAAATTGAGGATTTTAAAAGACAACCAGTTTGTATTATTCTTATTAATAAATCTGTACATTGGACCTATATCTGAAATTTCGATATTTAAGTGATTTCAACTTAACTTTGAAATTTTTGGATGAAGAAGCTAAAAAAAAAAAAGAGATAGCACTTGAAATCAGGGCTTGATACTTTTATGAAACTTAAAAGAAAACAAAAAATCTTAAGAAACATTCTAATAATATTTAAGGTAAAAGTTTAACATTTATTTATCCATTTTTTGAAGTACGTTGAACGAGAAATAAATATTCAGTGGGCTTATTAATATTAATATAATTACTTTTGAATTTATTACCTCATTTATGTATTTTCTTTGTTTGCGAAGCAAACTCAGTATTATATAATTAGCATGCTTTTAGGTAGTATTTCGTTCATACTGCCAATCGCTTCGACTTGCATCGCTAGCAGTCGGAGCGGTGAGCAGTACCAGCGAAATAGTCACCTTCAGGTTTACTTTTTGGGAAAATAATTGATTTTACATATATTTAAAAAAGATCTTTTTACTGGAATGTTTTATGTGGAAAAGTTCTAGCAGGAAAACAACCGATAATAAACATTACAGTCAAATCGGAACTTATAAATAAAATAAAAAAGTAAATTTTCATTTTAAGCCATCCTTGAAGTTTGCCTGAAGTGAGTCCATTATTTTAAGGACACACAGCTTATTCTTTCATCTAGGTTTCCTTTAATCTCGCGTCTTCACATTCTCTGCACACATTTTTCGATTTTTCCCTTTGGAATAGCTAGGAACATTATATTCAGCCATTTTCTATGCAGATTGTTTCAATTAGTGTCATTTCTCAGTGAAATTCTTTCTAATTTTCAATTGTTTTATTTCAAAATTAGCATTCTTCGAGCATTTACTATAGAAAAACATGAGAAACCGTGGGCGAGCATAATGAGTTGGCAATTTCAATATTCTCGCGTGGAAGCAACTCTGATTCGAGTCCTAAATAGTTGACTTATTTCCCGAGATCTCAGTTAATGAATCTCGACCTTACTAATCGATTACCTCTAATTGTAGTTTGATAACTTCAGAATAACTTATCCTTTCTGTCCTATTTAAAGTGCTTAAAGGCTTCTAATTCAATAAATAAGATAGTGAACCGTTGCAGAAAGAGCAATACAAGGATGATTATTATTTTTACTTTCACTTACCTATGTATGTAGTATATAGTAAGGGTAAGTATTGCGATCGTGAACATTTTCGAGTTTTCAAAAGAAATACACGTTTTGAGGTCCCCTGAGTCCAAATAACCCCCGCAAAATGGTCTGTGTGTTTATATATATATATGAAAAGCCTAGCTCAAAAACGAAAAGCCATACGAAACTGAAATGGCGTATTTGAGGTTTTTATTATCCTGGGATGTTACAGCAACATTTTTGTCAAAATCGGAAAACCGGAAGTGGTACTTTATATAATAGATTTAACACATTTTTACGATTTTCTCAGAAACCGATCTAACGATTTTGATTATACTCAGTATATCAGGGTATTATTAAGCAGTTTTTAATATAATGTAGGTTTTATTCTCATTGATGTTCTCTAACAAGGCTTAAATGGCTAATTTTCAATATTAGCTAAAGCACTAAAGCTTCCTCTAAAGTACCATTATTTTTTGAAATAATAAATCTTTGATACGAAAATTATTGAAATATAAAATATAAAAGAATTTGATAATTAACTAAAGGAAATATAAGAGATCGTAACTGATAATAGTTGGAATGGAGGAACCAAAGGAATACGAGCGTGTCCGAGCTTGCTTGAAAGAGTAAAACAGGCTTCTATTCGTAACATGAGCATAATATAATACGGACTCCGACTACATTATGTACATATACATATGTGGTTTTCATAAATACATCGTTGATATTATTTAATATTTAATTGTATACAATACAGCGATATAAAAATTAAAATTCGTGTATATAAGAGTATTTAAGCAAATAAAAATGTCCACAATGAAATGTAAATAAATATAGCGTTTATAATTTTTATTTCCCTTTCCCCTTTGTCTAAAAATTCTTATTTCTGCTAAGAAGAGGGTGGTAAGTGAACGTCGTGTGATGCGCGCACCATTTTTTTTTAAATGCACCTGAAGTGAATTTCCTTACTCAATAAATATTTTTTTCTCTCCCTAGCTGGAAGCTAAATTGCACAAGTGCAGAAGTTATTCTGCAACAGAGACGTGCGAGTATTTTACAACATGTAGATACAATAACCCATGCCCTTTTATAACTGCTCGCAAACAGGTATGGTCATCATTTGTAGACAGTATACACCCTCCCATGCGATGTCCCTTCCATCAGGTATGTTATTAAATAGTTATAGTTTTAGGTAAAAACCATACAATAATAATAAGATTTTCTAAACTTCACAGGGGACTTATACTATCAAGAATGCTTCATTTGACACTTCTTTTATTAAAAGCGTAGCTGGCATGAATGGAATGTACTGGGATATAAAAGTGAAAATGTATGTTAAAAAGAAATGTATAACATGTTTTGAAGTAGGTATTGATTTTCGAAAAATAAGAAGGAATGTTCATTAATATGGTTTAATATTCTTACATATGTAGAAAAATAAAAACAATCAAATCTATAGAAGGTTTTTTGTATATATTTAGGATATATTATTTTATCCTCATGAAGTTATTTAATTTTTTTTGCACTTCTTTGGTTTGACCATAATATTGTGGTAATTTGCAGGCTTGGTAATGTCACATTAAGGAGCCATAACAAAACTGGCAAAAACTATTTAATTGTTATTTAAATGTTCTATCCTTTTTAAAATATATAATTATATGATTTCCTATAATTTGAATATTAAATCATAGCGGTGATTCTAAATGCATTATTTCATCATGAAGACATAAAGGTGGGCCAAGATCATTTTATGTTATGTCTTTTGACAGGTTATGATAGATAAATATATTTTCAAAAAAACACAGCAACTTAACAAGCCAATCAAAATAAATTTGCCTGTGGTTATTTAATATTTATGCAGATTAAATATTAAAATTACCATATATAAAAAATATAGGTATATACATAAAAACATTTTCAAATCATTTATTATACATCTTTAGCAGTAAGGTATTCCAAGATAACATCACTGACACTGTACATCACGGGCGGATCTACGGGGGGGAGGGCTTTCGGGCTGAAGCTCCCCCCCCAAAATGGTAAAATGTAACCATATTTTACAGAAAAAAATACTTTATACTATCTCTTAAAGTATTCTTGTTGGTGTAATTACGTTTAATAGGACTTCAAGGACCACTTAATTACCATTTCATATAGATAATTAATTAATTTATTTTTTTTCAAATTAATTATCGTTATATATATATGAAAAAAAAACTGGGCTGAAGTCCCCCCCCCCAAAACTAAATCCTGGATCCGCTAGTGCTGTACATGGAATGCTGAAGGCAAGAAAGATATTCAACAGACTCAGTCTGTTCACTGAAAATATTCTATAAACTTCTATACATATCTATAGAACTTGTTATAAATCGTCTCCAACATTTTAATAGTGTTTTGTTTGACGATCCATAGACAATTAACTTACAATAACAGAAACATCGATTTGAGAAAGTCCAGTGATCTGTTGCATGCTTTCCGAATATATTCTAAGCAACCTGTCTTGTTTAATTTTGATTTATTGTTTTCAATAATGAATCATTGTAATCGAACAAAAAATTCAAAAACTTTAACCCCTCTCAAAATTTGAGGTTTTACGTTTCAGGATATGTAGAATTCGAAAAACGAATACAAATATTTTTGTCCGTCCGCCGTCCGTCGTATGCCATTTTCTCCGAAACTTCTGTACCGATGTTTTATCTATTTTTATCACTAGCTATCTATTAGAATTGGAAAAGATCAGAACTTTTTCAACTATAATTTCGGATTTTGGAAACATTTTCTTTTACGAAACATATGCGTGGTTCTTTTTTTAGTTAGTGAGATTTTAAACCGTTTTTGTGATGTTACACTTCTATATTATTTATTTCGAACAGAAATAGAAATCTTCAGCCAATACTACGGAATTTTACAGGTATCTGAAAAGTTGTCACCTCATAAATAGCTATGGGAAACAGAGTTACATTGAGAGGGCCCCTAAAAAGAATACTAATAACTTATGGTTTTCCGTTCTCAATTGTATAAGTTGTTGATTTTTCTGAACCAAGCGTCACACAAAACTTTCATTAAGAAAGTTTTAATATAATCGTTCCTTCAATAATACTCCACTTATTCCTGTTGAGCAAATCCGCTACTTAGGACTCCACCTTGACAAACGACTCACTTGGAACCCCCATACCAGACTGAAACGACTAGAAACCGCCCGACGTTTTCGACTACTGCAGCACTTACTAGACAAACGATCTAAGCTTTCAATCAATTATAAACGACTCGTATATATGACAATAATAAGACCTATTTGGACTTACGGAATTGAGCTTTGGGGCTCCACTAAACCATCGAATTCCTCTCGTATCCAATCCTTACAATCCAAAATCCTTCGTAAAATCCTCAACGCTCCTTACTTTGTCACAAATAAAATCATCCATAAAGACCTTAATGTTCCATATGTTTCCGATCTGGCCCAATCCAGATACCTTTCCTTCCATAACAAACTGCAGAACCATCCGAATCCTCTCGTTTCAAACCTTGCTTCCTCCTCGATCCCTGATAACCCTCCGAGGCGTCTGAAAAGAAGATGGCCTCGGGATCTTCTAATATAGAAATCATGTTTAGATGTCAAAATGTCTATTAAAAGATTTCCGCACTGTAACCGGAGCGATCTGGAATCAGAGTACAAGTATCTGGAGAAGAAAGACCAATGAATAGCTGCTTACAGAAACTCTGTCAATCAATATCTCATGATATGAAGGCACGGAGTTTAAGATGGTCGAGGCATAAGTGGAGTAATCCATCTGGAGCCTCTACATGACATTTAATGCCTCAATAGTAGGCATAAGAGCGCGTGGAAGGCAAAAAAGCAGTTGGATAGATCGAATCAACAAAGATGAAAAGAGGTGTATGGATATAACTGCAAAAAAAATGGCCAAAGATTAGTAGAATGGCCAAAGTAGGCTTGGCATGTTCGCAAAAGATCTACAAGGTCTGTAATGCCAATAAAAAAAGACAATTAACATTCTAATTATTTTTTAAAATTTAAATTTAAAAACCAATTTTGAATCTTTTTTATTGTTCTCCAATGCGTAAACAAATATAATTTGATTCGGGAATTAGGAAATTTTCCTGACAGAATGTCTATAGAAGTAACAAAACTACAATCCATAATCATTTAATCATTTATAGGTTAAATATACAGATGTACTTTCAAATCTCAAGGCATATAGCTCAGACTGGAGCTATTTGGTTTACCAAAATAGGTAGGGTTACGAAGTTTTCCTTGCCTACCGACGATATATTTAATAGAGTTCGTGATATTTTAATTACCTTAGCAAAATTAATTTTCTAGCTCTTGTCCATCTTCGTCATCCTCAGCTTTTTTCAGGAAAGTTTCATTTAGCCAAATATACTTTCAATTCATACATAGGTCGGATTAAGCGAAATGATAATTTATTTGCACCTTACATAGATTTCTTTGACAATTAGTGGTCTTGGTTTGAGAATATTCTAACTAGCTAATTTGGCAAATTGAGTTTAGTAATGGCCTCTACTTAGGGATGGCCATCGTTAGTCGGTATTATCGAAATATCGATATTTCTTTCTACTAAGAAACTAATTACCGATATGAAATAGTGTTTAAGTTATTATTGAAGTCTTATTAAATTTAATTAAACGAGCAGTAATACTTTTAGAGATAATTTTATAATATTTCTTTCATAAGACATGGTTATATTTTACGATTTTGAGACAGGCTTCATCCCCAAAGCCCTCCCACTGAAAATCCGCCTGTGAGTGCTATGTTTTATAAAAATCATCATGGGTTTCATTGTTTAAATATTAAAAAGGGGTAGATAGTAAAAAATAATTTTCTGATTCCTAATAATTGTTTTGAAATGTCTTTTTCCATTCTAAAGCATCTACTAATACGTTATGTATTATCTTTTTTTCTACAGCTTAGTAACAATATGAGAGAGATTCGTTGGTAATCTTTTTTACTACTTCTTCTCATAAATATCATCAAATACTTGCATAATGATGACTTAATTATTGTTATTTTGATGATATACAATGAAAACTTCGAACTACTCCATCATTCTATGAAAACCATAGAACAACTCCAAATCCATAATGAGATTTGAAAGTAAATAGATATTTCTGATCTATAAATAACTAAGGCTTATAATATTCAGTAATAACTATAAAAATTAAGTCGGTGTCACTTTTTACATTTTTTAAACACTTATTTGTTTCACTAGTAAAATCTACCTAAATAGAGTTACAAGATATTCATTGCATATCATCTATACTTCATTAAGTACGCATTTAGTACCTATTGTAAGTAATCTCTTTGGCGATGTAGTTGAAGGTTACAAACAGCTGTTTTTGGCATCATAACCTTTAATTCAAATTATGAAATCTTCTAGTGGTTGATCATTATACAAGATCGTACAAAAACATTTATTTATTATTTAATTTGTCTTTGGATGTTTTAAAATTTCTAAATATTAATATAGGCATTTTCGGGGAGAGCAGTCCCATTTACTATTTTCTGTGAATACAGATGTTATAGTCATTCATATCCACAATTCAATGGCAGCAGAAGGAAATGAAGAGGCTGAGGAGTATGATTTATATCATGTTGATTTCACAACAGCATCAGAATGGGAAGTTTTCATAGCTAGAATTGAAGAAGTTCTACAACAATGGAAACTTCACCAAAATCGATTTTGTAATCCAAAAGAGAAACTATGTAATGTGTCTTGGAATACACTAACTGAAAATATATGCTTTGCTGGTAATAAGTGTTCGTATTTTACTGATAATGAATAACATATTCTGAGTTGTCGTGATAATTTTGAATTAGGAATGACACAACTGTCATAACATAGTTGATACATTATCAAATTTACAATTCAATATTGACAATGTGCATGTAAATTGACTATATGAATAACTGAGCTTAGGAGGAGAACCAAATTAAATTAAATGGAAAATTATTCCTTATAGCAATCAAAAATAAAATAACGATTCTTAAATATTCATTGACATTATGTAATTTTTCTTTCATACTTTTACTCATTTTTATTCTTTCATTTTGTGTTTTCTGAATGTCGTTTTTGCAATGAATTCTGATCTACTTGGATTTTTTTTTTTTTTTTTTTAAAGTGTATTCAATGAACTGAATCATTTTTTAATTTTTTGTCTCAATGATTCTGGATGAACTATTTCTCCATTATTATAATTACCGTACATCATGGAGCATTGTGATACAACAAATAAAACAAAAAAAAAGGCTTAGCTAACCCAAAGAGTCGGTTGCAATACTACCAATCACCATTTAAATTCAATGTTCACTGACTATCACCCAAACTCAAATTATGATCCATAATAAATAAATATATTTAAAAAAGCTTATCGAAAAATAAATTGAAATAATTGAAATTTGTCATCTAACTTATTATATTTGTTGTTTCATTGATGTTTTTGATTTTAAGAAACATTAATAATGGTTATTGTTAAAGTTATTACAAATAATAGATGTAGATGTGGTTTAAGATTACTGTTTCTAATTCAGAAGTCTGAGAAACACTCATTCAGACTGTTTATTTTAACTTTATTAGTCGATTCTGCAATATTATTATTTAAAAATAAAAGTTGATTTAGAAGCTGGTTGCAACTCAATTTCAAGTATTTAACAAGAGATGTAGTAATTTATCACTAAATATATATACCACTTTAGAGCATACAATTTTATGATACTTTGTAATGATTCCTCAAAGCATTGGTACATACTTCCCTTTCTCGTTGAAGGGGAGGGGATGATAAATCCCCCTTCCTCCCCCCCTCCTCCAAATAAATCTTGGAAGTTTATATTATTTATAAAATTGATGAGTGATAATTATTATAAGAATAACATATAAAACAAATACATAAAAAAATAAATTTATGTTTTTTCTGCGTAAGGGTATATTTGAAAGTGGGTTCACAAAGCCCCAGAATTTATTACTTTTTATTTTATTTTAAGGTTTAAGACAATGACAGGAACCCTTAATTTCCGAATGATTCTAATTTTCTGTGAAATATGATAAAATTTTCAAGTAAAAATGGAAGGGTGCATTTAATAAATGAATCATTAAATCCTAGGATATGTTGCTACTTAATATTTTATTTAGTAATTATTTTTGAATATGAACTAAAATTTCAATAATAGGAACATACATAAGGCATGGTAAAATACTTCTAGGCCTTGGCTTAACTAAGTAAAACAAATGCTTCAAAGAACATGTTTGTTAACTTTGTTAATTTGTTTGAATCAAAAGAGCGTAAATGAACGGAGTCCATTTCCCAAAAGAGAAGTACCTTTTAAGATTCGTAAATTTAGTTAGTTTTTACTGAACAACTAAAATATCAGTTATAAAAAAATAGTAATTTGTATCAATTCTTCTTTTTCAGACTATGAGTTTGTGATAACAAGATATTTTGTAAAGAATTTAGAAGAAGAGAATATTTCAGAAGAGGAGAAAAAAAAACAGGTCCCTTCCACTTTGATAACATTAATGGATATCATGAACAGTGAAAATGATTTTATACCAATAATATATGATGGGGATGAATCTTCTCCCCATGTTCTTGTCAGATGGTATGGTTTAAGAGATTTTGTTATTTTGACTCCGTTGAAAGGTCACTTAACATCTGAAAGTAAACTGAAATTGCTTTTGAGTTCTTTTTCAATGGCAGCTAATAACATTAGTTGGTAAGTAATTAAATTTTAAATGTTTCTTAAATTTTTGAATAATCTAGCATGCAAAATTTTCAATTTACCGATATAAATTGAAATACTTACATTTCATATACATACATAACATTTATTAAAAAATAAATTGAAATCTGTACCATTACAATCCATGAAGGGTCTTGGGTTCAAGGGCAAACAGTTGTGCAAAGTGGTACTTTGACCAATTTGTACAACCCTCAGGTTTCCCCCTGAATTAATTAAGGACACTCTCTTTGTAAAAGCTGGGTCTGTCCAGGTAGAGTCTCTCAACCCCAGGATCGATCCTGGATAATGGAACAGATTAAATAATTTTCTGCCACAACCCGACTCAATCCTGGGACTGGATATAACTCCCAGCCAGAGATGGGCATATTTATATTCAAAAATATGAATACGAATACAATTTATATTTATGGCATTTTTGAATATAAATATGAATATATTTATATTCATAAAAAGAAACATGAATACAGGTGATGCATATTCACAGGTGTAAATATAAATACGGCCGTATTCACTACTTTAAAAGTGAATACGGCTGTATTTACAGTTGCAGTAGTGAATACGGCCGTATTCACGTTTATTAAAATGAATACGCTTAAATTTACAGAAGTGAATAGAAATATTTTCACACAACCTTATGAATGAATACTCTTATTTATTAAATAAATATTAATTTTACTTTAGGTATTTTCCAAAATTAAACAAAAAATTAAAATAAAATTCTGAACAGTAAGGAGTTAATTAAATAAATCTCTTAAATTTTTTTGGAGTAATGTTAAAAAGGTTGGTATATACTAACACAAAATGATGTATAAATAAATTTTTAATTTTCTTAAACATAAAATTATAATTATGTATATGTTAACATCTTAGGAGGGTCCTAATTATGTAAACTGAAGTCAATTAAGAAAATTGGAAAAGTCGACTAGATGGCTGAGCTAATGCCTAGATATACATATATGTTTTACTGGGCTGTATGTTCCTATTATAGAAATTTTAGTTAATATTCAATGATAATTATATGTAGCAACATGTCCTATGATTTTATGATTAATTAATGAACATTCTTTAATTTTTACCTGAAAATTTTATTACAGTTTCGGTAGTAAATATGGAGTGATGAGATAATTTCACTTACTTAAACCTTTAAATACAAATAAAACTAAGAATTCAGTTGGTTTGTTAACAATTTTCAAATACATCATCCACACACACAAAAAAAAGATATTTACCATCTATATCATTTTATTTTTATGTATAGAATTATATTCTTCATTTTACTATATGTTATTTCAATTATGTTACAATGTATTTTGGTATGTTAATTGTTGTACGTAATATAAATTTCCGAAACCTTTTTTGGGGGTATCCATCGCCCCTCCCTTCCCCCTAACAGAATGGAAAATCCGCGTCTTTGGTCCTTTCGGCGTTTACTTATGGGTTGCTGATGGCAAAAAATATAACTTTAATGGAATGTCAGCGTAGACACAACTGTAAGAATGATACCCTGGAAATTCGAGGGGGGGAATACGGGTATATAGCATCCTTTGCATGAAGCTAGGGAAGGGTCAAGGACAGTCAAATAAAATAAATAATATATATATATATATATATATATATATATATATATATATATATATATATATATATATATATATACATACACATACATACACTTATTCAAATCTGTTCTGATTAGATCAATCAAAATAATGTTAACATATTCATAATTATAATTTTATGTTTAATAAAATTAAGTGTTTTACCTATACATCATTTCCATTTAGCAAATACCAACATTATTTTAACATGTTTTAAGAGATTATTTACTAAACCCCTTACTGTCCAGAACTATATTTTAAATTTTTTTGTTTTATTTTGGAAAATACCAAAAGTAACAAATGAATTAATATTTATTTAATAAATAAGAGTATTCATTCATAAGGTTGTGTGAAAATATTTCGATTCCCTTCTGTAAATTTAAGCATATTCATTTTAATAAACGTGAATACGGCCGTATTTACTAGTATAACTGTGAATACAGCCGTATTCAGTTTTAAAGTAGTGAATACGACCGTATTTATATTATACATACAGCGTAGTAAAATACATATGTATATATAGGCATTAGCTCAGTCATCTAGTCGACTTTTCCAATTTCCTTAATTGACTTCAGTTTACATAATTAGGACCCTCCTAAGATGTTAACACATACATAATTATAATTTTATGTTTAATAAAATTAAAAATTTATTTATACATCATTTTGTGTTAGTAAATACCAACCTTTTTAACATTACTCCAAAAATATTTAAGAGATTTATTTAATTAACTCCTTACTGTCCAGAATTTTATTTTAATTTTTTGTTTAATTTTGGAAAATACCTAAAGTAAAATTAATATTTATTTAATAAATAAGAGTATTCATTCATAAGGTTGTGTGAAAATATTTCCATTCACTTCTGTAAATTTAAGCGTATTCATTTTAATAAACGTGAATACGGCCGTATTCACTACTGCAACTGTAAATACAGCCGTATTCACTTTTAAAGTAGTGAATACGGCCGTATTTATATTTACACCTGTGAATATGCATCACCTCTATTCATGTTTCTTTTTATGAATATAAATATATTCATATTTATATTCAAAAATGCCATAAATATAAATCGTATTCGTATTCATATTTTTGAATATAAATATGCCCATCTCTGCTCCCAGCACACCGTGCCTTAAAGCGTATTTTCCTAGCCACGTTCTCGAGTAATATAATTATTTGAATGAATTAAAATGATGGTCATCGATTTAATTTCCATTGCTCTTGGACCAGTCTATTCGGTTTTAAAGTAGTGAATACGACCGTATTTATATTATACATACAGCGTAGTAAAATACATATGTATATATAGGCATTAGCTCAGTTATCTAGTCGACTTTTCCAATTTCCTTAATTGACTTCAGTTTACATAATTAGGACCCTCCTAAGATGTTAACACATACATAATTATAATTTTATGTTTAATAAAATTAAAAATTTATTTATACATCATTTTGTGTTAGTAAATACCAACCTTTTTAACATTACTCCAAAAATATTTAAGAGATTTATTTAATTAACTCCTTACTGTCCAGAATTTTATTTTAATTTTTTGTTTAATTTTGGAAAATACCTAAAGTAAAATTAATATTTATTTAATAAATAAGAGTATTCATTCATAAGGTTGTGTGAAAATATTTCCATTCACTTCTGTAAATTTAAGCGTATTCATTTTAATAAACGTGAATACGACCATATTCACTACTGCAACTGTAAATGCAGCCGTATTCACTTTTAAAGTAGTGAATACGGCCGTATTTATATTTACACCTGTGAATATGCATCACCTGTATTCATGTTTCTTTTTATGAATATAAATATATTCATATTTATATTCAAAAATGCCATAAATATAAATCGTATTCGTATTCATATTTTTGAATGTAAATATGCCCATCTCTGCTCCCAGCACACCGTGCCTTAAAGCATATTTTCCTAGCCACGTTCTCGAGTAATATAATTATTTGAATGAATTAAAATGATGGTCATCGATTTAATTTCCATTGCTCTTGGATCAGTCTATTCGATTTTGGCTCCAGGATATTACAGGTTTCAGGAATTGTACAGTTGTGATCTTAATGCTATAATAATTTTTACTGTAAATTGGTTTTCTTTAACTTAAAAATTCATTTGTAAATACAGATAATGAACTAATTTAATTAGAATTAAATTTCATTTAAAAAAAAACAAACTAAATTGACAAAATGTAAAACTGATTTTCTGTTGAAGAACTCACTTCTATATTACCTTCAAACAAACTGACTGAAATAGAACTTTTTTATTGTATTTACATCCTTCCTTGCCTTACGGCAATATGGGTTTTGGTGAGGGTAGCGTAATAAATAATATATATATTTTGCTACTCCTGCCATTTAAACTTTAGTGCTTCAACTGAAGTCTTAAGTATTGTGATCGTGAAAATGTGTGAATCTGAGTTTTCAACGGAAATACATGTTTTGAGGTTCCCTGAGTCCAAATAACCAAGTCCCACAGAATGGTGTGTGTGTGTGTGTGTGTGTGTGTGTGTGTGTGTGTGAACAACCTAGCTCAAAAACGAAAAGTCGTTCGAAACTGAAATTACATGTTTATGGTTTTTATTTGCCTGGGATGTTACAGCAACTTTTTCATAAAAATCGGCTAACCGGAAGGGGTACTATATAGAATAGAAATAGAAAAATAACTTTATTCTGGGACACAGTCCCTTGAGAATAACAAAATAGAACAAAATTAAAATATTACATCTGGCCAAAATAAAATCAATCGAAAAAAAGAAATAATGTAAAAAAAATATAAGGTAAAAATTCTATATACAAAACAAACTAAACTATATACAAAACCATTAATACTATGACAAGACACTTAAAGCTATTTGCTCTTATAGACCAGTATACACTTTTCCGAAAAAAATAAAGAATTAAAAAATAAAAATGTATCAAATTCTCTATTAAAATCCGCTCGAATGGTTAGCAAGTATCTGACTGTTTTTGTGATAGGAATTGGAATAGGAGGGATTTGAATGTGGATATGGAGGGGGAATGTCGAATTTTGATAGGGAGGGAATTCCAGAAATTGACAGAGCGAACAATAAAGGAATTTTGGAATGAGGCAGATCTGTGAGAAGGCATGTAAAGGTCAGAAGGTCGAGATCTTGTGGACAGGGAATGGACTGAGGATTTGAACTGGAGAAGGTTGTAGGCGTAAGAAGGACGATGGTTGTTGATGATTTGGTAGAGGAACGTACCTAGAAAATATTGTCTTCGGAAGGAGGGGAAGAGCCACCTTAACTCAGTGTAGTGGTGAGAGACATGGGAGTACCTCGGGGCACCAATAACAAATCTTACGCAGCTATTCATTAATCTTTTCAGTCTATCACGGAGCTCCACCGAGAGGCCATCATACACCACACAGCTGTAGTCAAAGTGGGGGAAGATGAGAGAGGAAATTAGGAGTCTACGGATATGTTGAGGTAGGAGATGGCGGAAGCGATGAAATAGTTTAAGGGTAGAAATTGTCCGACGGGAAATGTGAGAAATATGGTAGGTCCAGGAGAGGGTTTGATCTATGAAAAATCCTAAATTTTTAACAGAGGAGTAGAAGGAAATTGGCTGGTCATTAAGGTGTAATATGGGAAAGTCAGTATGGGATCTAATAAGGGGCTTGGAACCAATGACAATGGCCTGAGTTTTGGCAGCATTTAACTTTAATCCATTTACATTTGCCCAGGCATTGATTCGATCAAGGTCTTCTTGAATCTTGGCAAATGCCCCCAGTAACTCAGAGGGAGAAAAGGATAGGTAGATCTGGGAATCATCTGCATAAAGGTGATGGGAACAATGGAGAATTGATTTAGGTAGGTCGTTAATGTAGGAGCTGAAAAGGAGAGGAGATATGCTTGAACCCTGGGCAACTCCAGAGGATAAAGAAAGGAAAGCAGATAGTGGTTGGTTGGGTATGGAGACTGCTTGGGTGCGTTGGGAGAGGAAAGATTGGAACCAAGAGATGGAACTATTGGAGAAAGATAATGATTTTAGTTTGTTGAAGAGGATGGAATGGTTGATGGAATCGAAAGCTTTGGAGAAGTCTAGAAGAATAAGGACAGTTAATTTTCTATCATCTATTGCAGATTGAATGTCGTTGGTAATTTTAATTAAGGCAGATTGTGTGGAATAGCCGGGACGGAAACCAGATTGGAGAGGATCAAATTGGTTGGACTTTTCGAGGAACTTGGAGACTTGGGATTGCACCAGTCTTTCAAGAGGCTTTGAGAGGTTAGAAAGAATTGAAATTGGACGGAAATCTTCGGGTGAGGATGGATTAGGCTTTTTATTTAAAGGAAGGACAATGGCTTTTTTCCAAGAGGTAGGGAATACTGAATTCTGAAGGGAGAAATTGTAGATAAAAAGGAGAGCTGGGAGGATTTCAGGTAGACATATTTTTATTAATTTGACAGGAATGCCGTCTGGCCCTATGGAATTGGTGTGGGATTTCATTACCGCGGTTAACAGGTCTGTGGGAGAAATGTCGGAAAAATAAAAGTTATTGTCGTTAAAGGATATCTCTGGAGCAAAGCCAGAAGAGGAAGGTAGAGAAGAGGTATTAGCGACAGATATAAAATAAGAGTTTAAATCATCGGAGGATACAGGATAGGCTGCGGTAGGGGATCTGGAAGGATTACCAATGGAAAGTTTACGAAGCAGTAGCCATTTCGATTTGATATCAGGAGCTGAGGAAAGGGTTTCATGGAAGTAGGAAGCTTTCGCACGCCGGATCCTTGTCTGTGCCAAGTTGCGAAGCACCCTGAACGCTTGGTAGTCATCTGCAAGCCTCGTACGTCTAAAACGTCTTCGGGCAGCGTCGCGCCTCTTCTGCAGATCTTTGATTTCCTGACACATCCAAGGAGCAGGCCGGTGACGAAAGGTAGAGGTTTTGAGGGGAGCATGGGTATTGAGAATATTGAGAAGATTGGTGGTAAGAATGTCAACCATGGAGTCGATGGAAGAGCAAGAATATATTCCATTCCAGTCTAGGGTTTCTAGGTCAGGTAATATTTTTTCTCGAGTAAGGGAATCTAGGTGACGGAAGGTGATAGTTCGAGGCTGGATTGAAGGAGTTTGGATATTATATGTTATTTGTATAAGATCGTGAGATGATAAGAATGATACTGGCAATTGAGAAGAGGAGAGGAGATTTTGTACAGAGTCTATAATGTAGAAGTCTAGCCAAGTGTCTGACCTGCTGGTGTGGTGGGTGGGGGAAAATGGAACTATGAAGAGGTGCAGAGAGAAAATTAGGTTTTCTAGATAGGATTTGTCATTGGAGTTAGAGAGGAAATTGGTATTGAGGTCACCGGAGATGATTATTCTGGGATATAGAGGAACGAAGTTGAATAGGGTTGATTCGAAGGACTGATCAAATGGAACATGGGGAGGACGATATACCACAGTGTAAAGGAGAGGAAGATCCTTACAATGGATTTCTACTAGAAGGTATTCAACCTGAGGATGATCGGAGGGTGGTGAGGAATCGAGGATTCGAGTCTTCAGGCTATTATGGACAAACATGGCTACTCCTCCGCCATTCCGGCTTACCCGGTCATGACGGAGGAGGGTGTGATTAGGCAAGGAAACAGAAGAGGATGGGATGTAAGGTTTAAGCCAAGTTTCCGAGATTGCGATAATATGATAAAAGTTTTGAGTGAAATATTGCAGGAACTCGTCATAGTGGGCAGGGAGGGATTGATAGTTAACATGACAGGTGATTAGGGTACTAGACATGAGAGGGATTGGGAGGGAAACAGTCAGAGTTTGGTAGAGAAACTCCAAAACAAATAGAAAATACAAAAAGGCGTTTACAATTAATGAAAATAGCAGAAAAGAAAGTGTAAGCTGGAACCAAAAGAAATAAAAAACATATGGTCAATAAAATATAAATTAGTGTGTAAGTGTGAAGAGATATCTCTATGCGTAGAAGTGAAAATGTTCCTTTGTAGATAATTGAGTTCAAAGTTATTTTAATGAGGATGAGGAGTAGACGAATTCTTCGTGGTCAGGCAAATATATCGAGGTCCGAGGCCTGTTCAATCAGAATAACTTTATGCCCGTCCTCCTTTCGACATCACACCTTTCCGGCGGCAAACCACGTATATTTGATTTTCCCCGCAGCTCTCTTCTGTCGGGCAAGCCAATATAAGTGTCTGTTCGTGGGAGTCATTTCCTCACTCAGATATATCCGGTGACAGTCATTCTCCTGCCAGCCGATATCCCGAGTAGTGAGGTCCCTCTTGACTTTCCTCTTCGTTATTAAGTCGTCCCTGACTGACTGTTTGACAAAGCGCGCGATGACAGGCGGCGGTCGTGGGTCATCTTTTCTACTTCTGCGGCGATGTACTATGTCCAAGTCATCTGTACTGAGCCTGATGCCCAAACTTGCTCCAATGCTGGTCACCAAAGCGGCGGGCGTTTCACCAGTTCGCTCCGGTATCCCTCGGATCTCCAGTGATCTGGATAACAAGCCCTGCTCTGCGTTATTCAGGCGAACCTCCAATTCGCCCACTCGAGATTTGAGGGCTTTATTTTCCAGAATAATTTTTTCGAAATTACTGGCTTGACTTTCGAGGTGTTTCTCAATTTTCGATAATTTTTCATTAAACTCAAAATTGAGCTCTCCATATTTATCGAGGGTTGTTTTTATGTTTTTTATGTCTTCATTGACACTCGAGTCTAAGCGATTTACTGCCGCCAGTATTTCTGAGGCGGACGGCTCCGTGTTAGGTTTTTTGGTCTGGTCACAATTAGGGCATACCCATGTTTTTTTGTGTGCTTTTAAGGCTTCAATTTCTTTTTCACTTAGATTGAGACACCGACCGTGAAAAATAATTTTGCATTTTACACAACAGAGATTGTTTTTATCTTCGCGTGCAATAGTATTATTGCAAATATTACACTGCACCATATTTAATTAGAATAGAACAATTAAAATGTAAATAAATACCGTTTAATTAATTAATTAATTAATTAATTAATTAATTAATACCGTTAAATTCTATAAATTAATATATAGAATAGATTAAACACATTTTTAAGATTTTCTCAAAAATGACTAACGATTTTGATTAAACTCAGTTTTGAATGTATAATTAAGTTGTCTTTAATATTATTTTGATCTTATTCCCATTGATGTCATGTAACAGGGCTTAGATGCTCAATGTTCAAAATGTCTTCCTCTAAAGTACCTTTAATTTGGCTTATTTTAAATAGTTAACTATCTCTCATTGTTTGGAGTTATGAAAGAAGGCTAAATATAACTTTTGAAAGAATTTGATAATTGAATAAAGGAAAAAAAAAGAAAAATGTTTAATTAGATCGAAAATGAAACAATAATATTCAGAAGGTATATGTATAATATATTGTTGAAAAGTGGAGGATTTTAGAAAAAAACAATATCTAATATAGAAAGCCATAGAAGGTATTGGAGTGTGTCAAAAAAGTTATAAATAATAATTTTTTATGAACAATTTATACTCTTGAATTATCTATTTATGTCCTCCACTTGGGACTTCATGGTTGTGACTTATGTTTTTATTTCATGTGTATCAAACTAATATTATACGTTGAAATTTTACTTTTTATTATAGTATCTATTTTTGAAACTACTTTAATTATATACAAACATTTTTTTTTTATTAGTCAAGTACCTTTGTTCGTAAGATTTTTGGAACCCTGGCAAAAATTCTATGTTGGTATTTATGAAGGACAAGAAGTAAGAACTGATTTTGAAATGGTACATTTAAAAAAGATTCCCTCTCAATGCAGGCATTTGACAGGTATTGTTTTTTTTTTGTTTGCATGATTTTTTGAGTATATATATATATATGCTGTAATTAGATGTATGTTAAAATTAAATATGTGTAGCTATTATTAGTTTTAAATAATATTTTATTTATTTTATTTTAGGTCTGTTAAGTCTCTTTAAATCAAAAATTGGAGAAAGTGATTTCTCTGAACCAATAATGGTCGCTGCTAGATTTGCCTATTGTTTGCATGATTGGACCAATTTCGCCTGGACCCAGGATCCTCCAGACATAGAACTGTTCTCTGGTGATATTGGTTGGACAGAACTAGGAAGTTTTCCATTTGGTTCTGTCTGTGAGCCTATAAAGTAATTATAATTGTTTATTAATATTATATACTTAATTTTTTATTGCAAGGAAAGGAGATGTGTTCTAATTTTGTATGTATATATATTATGTTATATTAACTTATTTTATAAAAACTTTGCTCTATAATTGAAGGGTCGAGTGGATTGAGGCGATAAGTGCATTTTTAGAAAAAATTGAGTTATTGCTAATAATAAAGGGATAAAGTGATATATTATTAATATTTTTTCTTTTCATTCACACATATTCAATAGTCTATAGTCGAATTGATAGAGTTTTCCATTGATGATAAAAAAAAGCCTAAGAATAGATAAAGGTAATTTAAATTCAGTTTTTAAGCATTTACAAATGTTACTTATCCCCTTTATCCAATTAACTTTTCAATTGTTAAATGAATTTTTTATCAAAAATTAGGCTAAAGGAAAGAATTATTTCAGTTCTATTACTCTGTATACTTGCTGGCCTGAAGTACTTGAAACAATGGCAGTTGATAATGAACTATACAGTGACTTTGATCCTCTGAGTGCTCCGGTCTGGTCCTTGTCAATTACTAAGACTGATAATCCAGTTTGCCTCCTCACTGATTATGTTACTGAATTTCTGTTGTATTGTACATCCAATAAAACAATTGAGGATCTTCTCGGCGATTTTGCCGCCAAAGATGGTGTGTTCTAATTTATATATAAATTTATAATATTGCTACTTTAATACTTAATATTTAATTTAATAGCTAATGTAAAATTAATTTATATATATACATAGACTAAATTATTTCTCTGTAGAAGTTTTAAATTTTCTACAAGTTTATTTTTCTTCTTTAATAATATTATTAATGGCAACTGTATTTTTGTCTGCATTATGTTTTTTCCATTTTTTTTTTTAGCAAATGATGTGCTTCAACCCTTTAGCCTTTTGACAGAATCGAGGATTCCTACAATAACTACCTTACTTAGCCAGTATGCCTCCAAAAAGAAATCTGTAGAAGGCCCAATCAATCAAAAACTTTTGATGCCTATTCTCTTTTTCTTATTTCCTGATGTTGAAGAAAATTCTGTAAGTTATATTTTAAAATTGAGTTATAGATATCAATTATGCAATAATGGGAGCCTGGTACATGCTATGTGGGCCAGTACCCTTTTCTCGTATGATAAAAAAGTTTGTTTAAAATATTTTTGTGGTTGAAGGAAAATTCACCAGCTCAATATATAAGAATATATATTTTGCCATAGAGAGGATTTTGTAAAAGCTATGTATTTTTCGGACTCAAAACATTGATATATTTTTCAGAGCTGGTAGATAGCTAATGACTTAATTGGAGGTTGGCCAGAGTTGACTTGCAGGGAGAGATGGGGTTAGTCCTTATCCAGTAAATTAGGAACGGGATGTCTACAAACTGCGAAAGATCAGGGAATAATCAGAGATTTTCTTTAAAATCAGGGAAACTTACTACTAACAAAATGAAAATATAAAATAAAAATAAAGTAAAAAAAAAAAAAAAATTACCAAAGCAATTTTTACTTCCTTATTACCTGTAGTTTTTGTGCACCTTAGACTTCAGAAAGGCGACCTGTCAATGCTGGAAATAAAAAAAAAAAAAGATAGAGAATTATTGGAAGATTTTAAAAAGTTTTGTTCTCAGAATCAAAAATTTCACTCCTAATATAAACATTTATACACAATATAGACATGAAGAAACAAATTTAGTTTTTTGTCTCTCTGTAGTCAAGTTCATGTAAAAGGTTATAACATCTACTACAATTAGCCAAATTTTGATGAAATATATTATAGTTTAGGGGAGGGTATGTATCAATATATCAATTCCATCAAATCCCATTCTTTACTTTTGCTTATGCTTGTGCAAATATATTTTCTTTAAAATGCCTATATTTAAAAAACAGCTCGTTTGATTTGGGCCTTTAGTTGGAATAAAGAGATTTGCAAAAAACCTATCAAATTGGTCTCAGTATATACAGTGGAAGATGCTGGTATACAAACAATAGGCACTTTATTTACAGAAAGCATGCATATACTAACTTACGCCGATGACAGATGGTGCTACTTTTATTTTTCTGTTTCATGTATGAGGGGGACCCAAAAGTAACAGGAATCGCGCCGCAGTGGGGAAACCCATTGTTCAACCCGGTATTCATTAGAAACACTTCTCCTGAGTTATTTTGCGAAGTTGTGTCGCTGTGAGTGCATCAGTTCGCCTGTGAGAATTTTTTTTCGATGGCCAATTGTCGAGAGCAATGCGTGGCTGTGAAATTTTTTTTCCTGTTGGAATTCATAACACCACGATTTATCACCAGTAATCATCTTGGAAAAAAATTCAGGGTCCTCTTCAAGCTGATTTTGAAGCTCAAAAAATGCCTCGACAACTAAAGTCCACACTCCACAACTAACTCCGTACGTGCATTGAAAGAAATTTCACCCTAGAATATTAGTGAACCACCATGAAATGCCACCTGGGGGGAGAACCATACTGTATGGGCTGTACCTTTCTCCTGGGCATATCCATGTCTAAATATAGCCATCTGAAGATTTGAGACCTACTCTCACCTCATCTGTGAAGAGAACTCTCTTCCAATCTTCCAATGTCTAATCCACATGGTCTTATGTGAATCGAAGTACGGCCATTTTGTGAGCTGTGGCAATTAGAGGGATATGAGCAGGCTGTTGAATCCTAAGGTTACATTCATTTTACCTTCTTCTTACAGTTCTGATGGAAATCAACATATTTCGAACTTGTCTGTTGCCTGATATATCTATTATCTATTGCTTCTGTACAGTTAGACTGACTCTGTCCTTTTCTTCTATTCTGATATCCAGTCTCCTGGCAACCTCATGCTGGCAGTGTCCTCTCTCTATCAATGTCACAACCTTAACACAGTCAAACTCACTCAAAATACTTACTCCATCCTTTATGAGTAGAAAAAAGATGTGTAGCAAGCTAAGTTGATGGGAAAGAACTAATGAAAACAAGTTTGTGACGGGGTAATAGTATCAGTCTAATGCTACTGTAGAAATCAAGATTAAAATAATTTTCAATAGTAAACAAAGCATTATTTAAGGTTTATATCAAGAGTTTACATACTTTTTGGCCCATGGACCACCTTCATTAAGTCCCGTGGGCCATGCTTGATGATAAAAAATATTCTTTAAATGACACTTCGGTTGTGTAATGAGCCTTCTAAGAGAAAAAAAAACATGAAATATATGTTGTAGTAACCTCTTGTTTGAGTAATTTAATAAATTTTGTATTTTTTAAATAGTTTTAAAATTTTACAATAGAAAGAAACTTTTGCGGGCCGGATCGGAGGTGCTTGCAGGCAGGAGTTTGGAGACCCTTGGTTTATATTCAAACAAAATTCTCCTTCTGATAGATACAAAAATCGAAGCTGGAGACAACTAGTTTAATTTTAACTTAAAATATTTTAGTGTGCTTTAAGTATGTACATTAGTATATTTATGATGTAAGGAGTTTGGTCAGTTTTTAGATATTTTGCAATTTATAGCACAATTAAATTACATTTATAATTTAATTTTTCATAGAAATGTGTGTACATACAATTTCTTGTTTCAAATTAAAATTAATCCATACTAAAATGATTTATTTTATTTCTATAGAAATATCCTTACTCGGAAGAAAAAGATGCAGATAAAACCTCTGCTCAGGTAATAAATATTTAATGATTTATCTATTAATAAAACACAAAATAGTTTAAAATGTAAAAAAGTAATAAGCAAAATCTGATCATAGATTTGTTATGAGTAGTTTCTTGATTTATATGTAAGTGCATATACAATAGTGTGAAGAAGTCTTTGAATAAACTAAATTTTTATAAAAATGACAAATATTCCAATTTAAAAGTGTTTATATCTTCTTAATTATAAACTGATTTAATCTATCAGACGTAATATGAATTTAAATTAGCATTATTTTCAATTAACAATAAGCCAAGTGACGAATCCATTGTGTCGACATTATTTTCAGAGGCTGAATATTGCTAACTAATTGTTTAAATTTCACTGCTTTGTTATCCACTTCTGACTTTATTCTTTATTGTTTATATCGAGAACCGTTGTATTGGGTTGTCCCTGAAAATAATGCAAGATTTTGTCTTAAAAAGAAAAAAGAAAGATTTTTAAAAAGAAACTGTTTTATTTAATCAAAATAGTCTCCAGTACTATCAAGACATTTCTACCAATGTGTTGGCAACTTTTCTATTTCCTCGGATTAGAATTTCGCATCTTTAGAATTGATAAACTCCAAAAACACATTTTCTAATTCCCTGTGACCATTAAATTTTTGTCATGCAAATATTGGTCCATAATTTATTCATACAAATGAATAATTCAGTAAACGTTAACAATTTGTTATGTAGAGGGGTATTTTAAAGAAAACTCAAAATCCTGCATTATTTTCCAGACAATCCAATATAAACTCTAGAAAGTTGAGTGTATCTGTGGAAATTGTTCAAATATAAGAATTCTTAGTTTTTTTTTTCGGTAATTTAATTTAGCATTCTATATTTCATAATTTATTTTTGTTTTCTATTCAATGTTACTTCTATTTCAGAAAATGGCAAAATATCATATTTTTATCGACATAAAATTATAATATTTCATCAACAAGAATTTTAACTAGAAAAATAGGGACTTGAAAGTTTAATCATACCTAAAAAACATAATCATGTTGATAAAGAACGATTTAAATTATTTTTGTTTGTATAACCGGTAAAAATCTAGCAGAGAAATAGCCGGTCCTATCAGGAAATAGCCGCTGCTACTAGGACCCAAGGAAACTCCTATCATTAGGCCTTAAAGGTTGTGTTTCCAGAAGAAAACTGTTTTTTTGGCCTCTTAACAAGAAAAGCGATTAAACTTTGTTGGTTGTACAGTAGTATCCTTGCGTACCATTTGGGCTTTAGTTGGTTGGGCTAAACTTTATTTTCAGAAAAATAACGATAAAAAATGGGGGTATTTTACCATTTTTCGAAATAAAAGTAACAATAAATAGAAAATAAAAAGAAATTATGAAATAAGAAATTTTAAATTAAATTTCTAAAAACAAACGAATAATTCTAATACAGAACATTTTTTATAGATAAATTCAGCCTTCCAGAGTTTATACAAAGACTCTTGATGTTAATAATAAAGAATAAAGACTGAAGTGGATAATAAAGTAGTGAAATTTAAACTAAAAAGTAGCCATATTCAGCCCCTGAAAATAATGTCAACGCAACGGATTGGTCCCTTGGCTTTTTTTTAATTGAAAATAATGATAATTTAAATATATATTACATCTACTAGGTTTAATCAGTTTACAATAAATGAAATAAAAACAGTTTTAAATTGAAGCAGTTATCATTTTTATAAAAATTTGGGTTGTTTGAATACAGTTTCACACAACTTTATATTTTTGAAAAATATAAGTCGATAACTTTATAAAAAAAATTGTTCTAAATGTTATTGAAAATTTTTAAATTTCATATATTTGCATATTGGACCAACATTTTTAATATTGTTTATTTGTATGAACAATAGAAGCATGTATATGCATATTTCAAATGATTGAGTATATTTTTATATTAAATTGGAAGTTAATTTTTATGTCAGTTAATGTTTGACATGGAGTTAATCATATTTCCAGCTTTTACACACTATGTCTCAAAAGATGCTATTATGTTTCATTCTAAATAAAGTAAGTGTAGTTTTAGTACCCTTCATTAGAATAAAAGTACGGTATTTGCAATACATAAGAAGCTCTGATGCAGCTACATGCTCTTCTCTTCTATCTTCTTAAGCTCTTAACTTTGATTGCACGATCACTAAAGTAATAAGTCATTGTTTATTGTTTAATATATTATATTGTTTAGCATATTATAATTAGTTGATGATTCTAGAAATGATGCTGAAGAAACTCATGAACTGTTTTATAAGATAGATCTTTGGGATCCCTAGGCATTCGCATGTATCATTCTGGTACACCGAGTTTAAGTGGCTTTATCCTACTTCCTGACGACAATTCCTCCTTGGTGTTTTCTTTTTTCAAGTTCTCAGAACCAAAAACCCTCCCTATATCCTGAAAATCCTTACTCTACGCTCCTCTATCCACTCTTGCAATACTAGGTCTCAACCTATTGATTTATATATCCACTTCCATAAAACTACTTCCTTCAGCAAATCCTTTGTTTACCTCCTTTTGGAACTATCTTCCTACCTCCAAACGTCAATCCTCGTCCACCAATTCCTTCAAACAACTCACTCCTGTTCCACCACTTACTCCACATTCAAACTTCCCCTAATATGTAAAATTACTTGTATCTTTATACTTTGTAATGTCAGCTATTGCACAAACTTCAATAAGGAGCATATTCGCTTGTATTTTTTATTATTTTAATCCCGACTAATACCCATAAATTTGTAACACTCTTATTATTCTTAGGGGACTGTAGTCCCAGAATAAAATTATTTTTTCATTTCATTGTCCAATAGGGAATGGTAGGCTTTGAAGTACTGACAGTCATTTTATTTTGAACGGAAATTCATTAAAAAAGTTATTTAGGAAAAATACCTGAGAACAGAAAGCACAATTAAAAATATTTTCTACAGTTTTCCTCTTCTACATGTACTATTAGAATCATGTTAAAAGCAAAGTATTATTTTTCTTTATAATGGCAACTGGTTCCTGGTGTTTGACACATATGACTAAAATATTTGTTCTCCAGAGAGGGAGATAGATAGAGAGAGAGTGAGAGAGGAAAGTTATATTATATTGTGGACGTTAGTATAAATTTTGAATTAACAAGAGTGACTTATTAAAGTTACACATATATGTCTTATTAATACCATCTATGTTTTGTTTACAGCGCATGAAGACATGTCCAAGGGATAGCCTTATTTGGCGTTTGGCCCTCGTCATGGCTCATTCCCTCCACATGTTTGGTGGTGCAAAAGCTGCTGCTCATATTTGGCATGAGTTTTCTCAAGAAATAAGATTTCGCTGGAACTCTAACAACATGATCCCTGGGTAAGTAAGGTTTTTACTTTTTACTTCTTTCTATGAATGAAATTGATGTGTTGCCTGTTACGATAACAATAATTTTTTCCCATCTGGTCTTTCCACATTTTGTTTTATGTATTTTTAGAAACAAATATGTTTCTTCTTAGAAATGTTTTTAAAAGTGTTCAGTATTACTTTTTTAGGTACCAGCTATAGTAACTTACAAAATTAATTTTATTTTTAAATGTTAAATTTAAATAAATTATTAACAATCATATGCCATTTCCTCTAAAAAATATTCCAATTATAAATGAAGATAAAAAATAAATCTTCGATCTTGTCCTTTCCAATTTCATTGAAATAGCCATAATAACCTGATAACAAATGAATGATTTTATCCTATCTTATTGCAAAAACATTTTGGACACTATTTTTCTGCATGTGATCATATATTTAGTCTGTTGGTTTTATTTTAATTTCTTATCATATATTTGTTTTATAAAGATGATTTATAAAAGCAACCTCCATAATATTTGACTGATCAATATTTGTTTTGAAGAAAATACTTTATTTTATTTTATTTTTAGAATTTATGTGTAAATTCTTAGTAGTGATCCATATCTGTCACTGCGTATACATAAATGTTTAAATTTTCTAATTAAAAAAAAGGTCGATGTGAAAACTTTTTGGATTTGGAGAATAAAATAAAATCATCTTTCTGGAATTTACTAAAGCACTGGAAGACGACATATTTTTATTCTCTTGATCTAGATTCCTACATGGCAATATTTAAAAAAAATTTAATTTGTTGTATTGAATTGACTCACAGCCTGCAAGAACTGTTTGTTTTAGACAAACAAGTAGTTTTCTGTTTAGTAAAATTCAAGTAAATTAGTAAGTACAAAATCTAATCCTATGAGCTCAGGTGTTTGTTGTATTTGGAAATTTCGGATGGGGTTGCAGTTGATGCCAATAATCTGTTGATTGTCTTCAGCAGCAGTTTCCAGTGGTCGAGGCTCCTAGATCAGCGAAAGACTCATCACATGTTATAACACCAATGCTATAGCACCAACTGTTGGTTGAATTAATTACATTTTAAAATCTACAGAAATATGGAATGGGTATGATCACACATTGACAGATAAGATGATATTATTTTACAGCTCGATAATATTTGATTCCTGTTTTAGCTTAATGAACCTTTAAGTGGTAATTTATTTACAATGAATAGGGTTCACGTTTTATTTTTATTGAGTTTCCTACATTTAAAAGTAAAAATTTTACTTATTGGTAGTTTCATTTTTTTCTACATACATATTTATAATTTTTTTGTACTGTCTCATTAAAGTTGCATTTTTTTTTCAAACTTTTACCGACAGGTGTAGTAAAGCCTGTGAAAATTAGCTATGAAACAAGTTGTCAAATTGTGTAGAAATACTTATAAGCTGCACTGAAGTGATAAAAATACTTTAGTTCAATGCATTTAGGTTTATGCCTAAATCCCAGCTTACATTAAATGGATTTAGTTTTTGTTTTTTTTAGTTTCTTAATTTAAGTGGCTAATCTTAAATAATCAATTAAGAGGAAAAACCTGATGGTTGAGCGTAATTCTGACCCTATTACCTCCCTCCACAAATATTGGTCTTGAAACAGCGTTTCATAACAAAGTACTGAACCCAACACCCTTCATGGATTATAGTGGTACAGTTTTTTTTGTTTTTTTTCTCACAAAAGAAGTGTAAAGTTCACCCTTTAAAATTGTTCACTTTTGTTTTGTTATTTTACTTACCTTTGTTCATACCTTTACGTGATGATTGTATAGAGCAGTGGTCATCAAACTAGGCTCCATGAAATTTTTATTGATTACATAGTAAAATTTAAAACATATGAAATTTGGTAAATCACTCAAACACATGATTACGGGCTAAAAAGTATGAAGAACTCTGCTGTAGAGCATATAAAACAGGTACATCTACCAATATAGTTGTGGATGAGTCGTGATAAGTTGTTAAAAGAATGGGAATGAAGGTATGAATATAATTTACTATAAAAAATCATGTTATCTTTTGTTGTTTGATCACATAGTATGTCAAGAAGATGGTCCTGGGTTTGGTAAAAAAAATTAACACCAAATTGTTGATAAATATTTACCATTACTGATAGTGGTCACAGAAAAATTCACTATAAAAAAAAAAGTCATTTTCTACCCCATTGTTCCCCCAATATTGTATAAAAGGAGTCAAGAGTTTCACTGGCTTCCCAATATTTAATAATCATTTAGTCTACAATTAATAATTATATTATATTACAGATAATGAGGTAATAAAGTAATAACTAGGCCAGTTTATAGCTCACCAGCCACCGGAAGAGCAGTTCAGCTGAGCGTATCAAGAAGGGATTGGCAACCGATTGTGTAGTAGAGCTCAGCTCAGTCAGCAACTTGTCTTGCATTGATATCCTTCTCATATTCCGTGTAACATTTAAAAAAAATATATATAGCATATATAGCATTTTAAAAAAATGGCAAAGTTGCTCATGCCGGAGTCGGAAAAAGAAAAATAGAATATTTGTTTATAAAATCGAATATTTTCCCTTACACATTCGATTAAGAATTCTTCCACATCCATTGCATATTTTACACTGACAAGCGGAAAGAAAGGATGACACTGAGGAATAAGCTACACGGTTGTGGGGCAGTGGGTGTGGGGGAAGATGAGCGTAGCTTCAAAATTGAACCTTGGTCCAGCCAAAGCCCCTTGCGATGTCGCTCAACTGTGCTCAAGTCAGCTCCGTATCTGGTGGCCAGCCTTTCATTAAAAATCTTTTATTCGGTTTTGGAAACTGACTTAGCTACGCACAGCTCGGCTCAACTCCACGGTCAGCCTGAGCATATTGTTTTAACTTCGGCCCCCCAATATTTTCTAAATGCCAGCTTTTCTATTTAATTTGCTTTAAATTAGATTTTTAAGTGTTTGAAAATATAGATTAGTGTGTCTATTAATCAAATTTAGTTTTACAATTTTTCCATTCAATTTTTTTATTTTTTGTTATAAAGCTTTGAAAATTATGATAATGATTATTTAAAATATTTATACATGTGTTTGTTCAAAGAATTACGCTTTTCATTAAAATTGGTCATTCTTTTTATTGCATTTTTAAAATATAAAATGAGTTGTTTTACTAAAAAAGAAAAACTTTTAATGGATAAAGATTTGTCTTCTTTGTGTTAAAAACTCAAGAAAAAAATAAATAAAGTATTAATAATCCAGAGATGGCTTATAATTGACTGTTGAAATTGTCAGGATGATAAATGTTCAGGATGTGCAGTAAAAAATTATGTAGTTTGCCCAAGTAGTTGACCCAAACTTGTGGTCCACCATTAGGGCTAAAAATTAAAAAATACAAAAAATGATAAATATAAAAGTATGTAAATAAGAGAAGAAGGTGTAGAACATACAAATCAGATAACAGCTATACCAACATAACAATAATAAAAACATTAAAATATGCTTAGAAAATGTTTTTGTTTTATAAATAAATGAAAAAGATAAGGATACAAAAAATAAACCAAAGAATCAGCCTAAATTAAATAATTCAATAAATATGTAATTTGGTATTTTTTAATTTGTAGTCCTGATGACCCACAGGTTTGGGTTAAAATGTCAGCAAACTCAATAAACCTAATTTTTGACTGCACATCCTGACCATTTTTCATCCCTACTAAAAATCAATATATTGTCATGAGGTTTCTTCATTTTTGAATTTTCATGCCTAAATACACTGCACTAAACTTGTATATTTTCTGAGAATGTTGAGCTACAGATTAATTTTAGTGGGTGCTGCATTAATATTCACAATTTCAAGCTCTTAAAGTATAAAATTTTTTATTTAGTATACATATATTTTTTTTAAATATTTACTGAACACAATAAAGTACATAATAATCAATCATAATTTTTTTTTCAATTAATAATTTTTTAAAGTATTCTTTTTTGATACTGATTGTAATTATTAATTATAATCAGTTAAACCTTTTTGAACGTTTTGTTTAAATCTCCTGCTTCATTTAGATACTACATGTATTATGTGCAGACGAGACTCTGGTATCTTGTAGTTATGTATTCTTTATTTCCTCATTCAATTAACTAGTGAATTGATTTTTTGGTTTGAAATTAACTACATTATAATAAATTAATCTAATAGATTTAACCTTTTGTATTATGTTATTAAAATTTAGATAAAATACATTAATTATTCAAGTTTTGAAGGATTGAAACTAAAATATTTTAACTAATAAATGAAGCAGTTCAGATTTTTTTCTGTATTATTCTTTGGTATCTACCTATCGCTTTTGTACATATATTACAATATTTTGGCTTATAATTACTTTGAATAAATTAGCAAAGTGAAATCAAAGAATAAACTATAATTTTGATGTCATTATTCAAGTACACAAAACATTGTGGTATATTTGAGCTTCTTAACACTTATATCAACTTATTAAGTTTTTTAAAGCAATTTACATTTGTATATATATACATTGAATATACATGAGTGTATAATAATGTGCAATGCTTCATTCAAGGAGAAAATGATGTTTATCTAATAAACTATTTATAATCTAGAAAAGTTGTTATGATCATTATCTTCCTGAATAAAATATTAATTGAATTTTATTATCACTTTGCCAAATAATCTTTGAATTTACAAAAAATTCTGAATTATATTTAAGGATCTTCTATAAGTAGTGACAGAACATATAAAAAGCAATTCATAATATATGCTTTTTTGCAGCTTTTTAATAGTTTTTTTTGCTTATTTATAATATTAATACTTTTATTGTACAATAAATTATTCTAAATGATAATAAACATATATACAATGTAGTCAGTACATCTTACAATAACATTTTACAAGCAAATATAAAAAAATGTTATTAAGGATTACTATTTATTTATTCTGAAAGCATAGCTTTCATAAATATTTTTGAAAAAATGGGTGAGACAGCATAATTTTTCCTGAATTCACGATGGATTTCATGCCATCTATAATTCAGTTTGCTACTTAATGCATTATATTGCATCACCCAAAATTTCAAAGTTTTTCTGAAATTACTCAAGTACTGAAGTATTATTGTTGAGACTAGAGAGGTACAAGGCCACCCCTGGTGGTAGGATTACGGGCCATATAGATGTCCATGTCATGATCTGTCCAGTTATCTGAAGTGTCTCCGCAATAGTTGAGGGTATGTGTTGAGCCAGCTGTGGAGTATCTGGAACCTGGTCGACCATGCTCTCTGCCCCTCGATCGCCTTCGGCCTGTCGGGTAGCTTACTCTGGACATCCGTTCTGATACTGCTAGAGACTGGCGTGACTGCCTTAATTCTATAACATCAGTTTGAATCTATTATGCTGTACATCCAAATAATGAATTTTAAAAAATAGCCGAAATTTGATTGTGACATTTTAATTTTTTATTGATTTAATAATTATTTTAATTAGTATCTATTGCAAAAAAAAATATTGTTTTGTATAAAATTTAATGTAACAGTAATAATAATATTTAAATTGGTTTAGCAAAAAAATAGTTAAATATTTTTTTTTTAAATATTAACCCGCTGTATTTCTTACTTGAGTTATGGTAGATAATCATTTATTCTGTTACATCACCCTTGTTTCAGACAACCCTTCCAAGGCACTCTCTACCTCTATAATGTGGCCCTCCTTAATTGGGAGAAAAACCTGGTGGTTGAGGGTTTTCATAAAATTATTTCCTTGCACAACCCATTGGCTTTGAAATAATATTCCCTTACAGAATATTGAACCTATCGGTTGTTGTGGTAATTATTGTTCTATTGTGATTATTAGGAGCTTTGGTTTTCATTTATTATTATAACTTTCAGTTCATGCCAACTTTCTATATTTCTATTTTCCTGTTTTATCAGATTATCTAATTAAAATCATTTATTTGAAAATTGGATAGGTGAAAATGTACCCAGAGAAACATTATCTTTGAATATGAGCCTCTGAAATAATCCTGTTTATAGGTCACTTATCAATTCAAGTAGCACTTAGGAATGGTATTTCTTGGTCATTTGAAATATCCCTGATTGCATCGAACACTTGGAAACTTTTAGTGGTCTCTCAATATTCTTTTATTATTTCTTATATGAATGTTAAGGTATAGAGACATCTATCACTGATCATGAATTGTTTCATAGAGGTATTTTAATATGGTAGCCAAACTCATGAACATGTTTTCTTTTTATGGATGAGTTTAGCAACAGGTTGGAATTTAAATTGAAATAAATAATGTACTAAATGAAGAAATGCTTAGTCATACATAAGTTCTTGAGAATAAGTAATTTCTCTGTAGAAGCTATTACATCCATTAATGAGAAATATTGTGGAGCTTTGTGAGGCAGAGTGAGCAGAATTCAAAATATTGAGAAAACACAAAGGAATTAGCCTGTAATATTTCCTAAGTTCATTCTTCTTCATAATCTACTATACCAGGAGACAATGAGCTTAATATGAAAATCTTCATCAATAAAAGAGCTTCCTAATATTTTTGTTTTTATTACTCTATACCAACATTTTTTATATCTTGAGCTTCCATGATAGATTCAAGGAGTATATTAGATAATGTGAAATTTTTCAGGAAAGAGGTACATGTTTTCGTATAACATCATGCAAAGTGATGTTTTTCGGGATGCAGAGATCAGAAATTCAAACATGATGCTGTTCAAGATAATCTTTTATCTACCAATATAGTGATTAGTCATACCTTCTTAGTATCAGTATAAAAAAAAAAAAGATCTGAATTCAGGTGCTAAAAATCAAATATGTATGGAGAAAACTGATTAAGAGGCTACAGAGGAGTGTACAATAAGCTCAACTAATGACATTGAGAGAGAGGCAGTTGGTTGAGCTTTTATGCCAAATGAAAACGTTCCCTTTAAAGAAATTGAATATGTACCTACCACCTTAACATGTGTCATTTATTAAAAATATAAATTGGGAAAAGTAAGAGATACGACCCTTGGGGAATAAAAGATTGCTTCTAGGTCTAAAGAATACTGGAAGTCTAGGTTGAGAACATTTTATACAGAAAACCACTGTGGGAGTGCAAAAGAATAAGAGGAAAGAAAATTAGTTATTTATCACAGTATATTTTAATTTGATTAAATACAATCCCAACCAATATTGTTTGGATTATTATTATTTTTTTTTTTCAAATCTAACATTAATTTGAAATTGATATTTTTTTTTGTTTTTAAACATACATTTAACAGAACACATGCAAAGCATAAGCTATTTAGTGCTAGCTGTTTTTTTCTCTTTTATTAGTAAGCAGATAGATATCTGTGCAAATATTTAAGATTTGTGTGTTATTGGGATTAGAGGTACCGTACAACTATCAATACTTTTTGAGAAAAAAATGCTCGTTTTATAGCAGTCTGTTAAAATAGTCATTTGTTTTTGACTTTTCAATGTACTCTCTTATTAAGACTTTGAAATTAGGTAAATAATACTAATCTTGCAACTAATTGATTTTTTTCCTCTGCAATTTTTTTATTTTACAATAATACTTTTTTCTTATTATTAGATAAGAATCGATAGATATCTGTATGGTCATCAACCATTTGGAATCCTATTCTGAAAAGAACCACTTGTTCAATAATTAAAACAAAATAATATGTATATATATAAATAACTATTAATTTAAAAACTGCTGTATTCAATGGACCACTTGCTAAATTACTATAATCTTTTACTTATTAAGAAATGAAAACTGTGATGACTTGACTGTATTATAATATGAATAATAACAGTTTTTTAAGGAATCTAAACTAAACAGCAGATTTTATTGGGGTTGATACAAGATACTTCCTTCAACTGAACTCTGTAAGAGTGTACATCAATACGTGATGTTTGTCAGTCAGTACCTTTGATTTTTACCATGATTAATTCTTTACTCTAGTCCACTACTTCACCACTGACTTAGATTCACCTATCTAATAGTGTATAATAATTTATGCATTACATTATGTTCTAAACACTATAGTTTTTACCCTTGCATAAACGACATTGCTGCCTTTACTTAAAGTCAACTTATCAGTGTAAAATTAATTGATTTGAGTACCGCTAAATCATTCTGGCAGGTTCGTTATTACTTGATCAAGTAATTTATTACTAATTCATAGTAGTATAAAAATAATTTATAACTTTGGATAATCAAGTTTAAGATTATTTTTAGTTTTAAATTTGAATTTTTTAAGGACTTCAGGTTTCTACCAACAATATAGGTTTAAAATATATACTGACAACCATGGGCATATACAGAAATAGGGCAAGGTAAGGCTTTTGCCTCCTCCCTCTTTACAATATGGAAAACAATTTTAAATATAATAGCTGTAGTGGCCAGCAAACATTTTCATACATAAATTGATTGAAAATAAAAAGAATCAATAAAAACAATTCGTTACCACATATTTTTTAATCTAAACGTCTAAGTATAATTTCAATACCACTTTTATTAATTTTATCAAAAAGATTTGTCTAACAATTAACAATATATATACAGTGGGCAAAAAAAAGTATTCGTACACCTTGTTTTTTGGCCAAAATGGAAAATTTATATATGCTGTTGGAATTAAAAATCCGAAAATATTCTTGTTACTCTCGGAATGACTTAATAAACAATCTTAAAAAATTGTTGCTGCTTGGCTTAAAAAAATGTTTACTTAAAAAATTGCTGTTTGGCAAGAAATTGGACCACAGACTAAAAGGCTCGTGGAACCAATGCCAAGGAGACTCAATATTTGAAGATTTTGATATGTTTCATACAGTATGAGCTATGAAATTTTACTTTTTTTGTACAATTAATGCAAAATGAAGTTTCTAATTGTTATCAATAGTTACTTTATGTTGAAAACATAAATGAAAAGATTTTGGGCTAAAACATAATGGTGTACGAATACTTTTTTTGGCCACTGTATATATAAGTGTATGAAAATTTTAAATTAAGGAACTAATTTTAATATTATGAAATTTCATTTACGTTAGATTTAAAAATTTTAATTTAATTTTACATAATAGTCATTCAACCATTGATCTCAAATCTTTTCAACGATTATAGTGATTTTATTAAGTGGTCTAATTGAAATGTTGAGCAGTATATTAATAACATAAAGTTGTATTTTAAAAATTCACTTACATTTATTTAAAAGACAACAAACGAATTCTATGTAAAAATACCAAGTGGCATTGAAAGATTATAATATGTCAATTACCTGGTCTTGAGCTGACTAAGCCAGAAGAGAAAGCATTACTATTAATGAATCTGCCGGAGTTGTTGGAAAAACTGTGTTGAGATTGACCATCAGCTACGGATCTTGTTTTTGTACTTTTTCCATTGTATCTGATATCATCCCCTACACATCCCCTCGTCATTGATCCTATCCCAAAGAATTCAGTTATACATTTCAGCTTCTTGCCATCGGTGTTAGTGTTATTCAGATAGGTTTGGAAAAAAAAAAAATATTTTTGTAGAAGCCCAACTAAGAGAAATCGTTATCATCATTGTTAGAATTAAATTAGAAATTATTAACAGAAGACAGTTTTTCCCAAATGAAACAACTAGTTTGTTATATTTTTCCCACTAGGGATCAATCAAGTGTTTAGTCTTTGTCATTTCCAATTTGAGTGATTAGAGGGATTAATAGGAAATGTTAATAGTTTTAGTAGACAAAAAGTATAAAAAAGACGGTTATTTTATCTTAGTTTTTATTTTTCAATAAATATAATTTACAAAGACAGAACAGAGTTTTGAAGGTTTTTAAGAGAGAAGATAATAAATTACAAGTATAGCCATTTCGTCTAAAAGAATTATGGTATATATTAAATATAACAATTCATTTAAACTATAATACATGCTTTTAGTATTTAAAAAAACAAAACAGATAAACATGCATTTATGTTCTATTATTTATAGAAGTAAAAAGAAATCTAAAGGAACTTGGTTTGGCAAGTTATTTACATACATCAATAGTGATAAAACTATAATAATTTAAATAGCATAACAAATATTTACATTTATTTATTTTTAACTGTCAAAGATAACTATTTCTATAGTAGTCATCTAGTGTAATAAATAGTATACTGTAAAAGTCATTAGAGATCAATTTTTTTTTTTTAAACTGGTGAAAACAGATTGATATACTTTTTTCTTTTTTTCCTGGGAAGTTGTCAGTTTAATTTAGTTGCTTGGCAATAATAACTTCCAATTATTAACAATTCGAGTATATTTTTAACGTTACATGTTAACAGGGCAGAAACCCAATTATTGGTCAAAAGGAGAATGTTGATCTAGATGATAAATTTTAGAACATAAATTAGAAAATTGACGATGGAGCACATTATTATTATTATTAGAATTAAGCCTTGCATCCACAAGAGTATTGGAATTGCAGTTCTGAAGATGGGAATAAAAGGTCCCGTAACGTAAACTAGACTGTTAACATGTAACGTTAAAAATATACTTGAATTGTTAATAATTGGAAGTTATTATTGCCAAGCAACTAAATCAGATTGATATATTTATGAGCAAGTGACAAAAATTAATTTGCAGTTCATCTATTGACCAGCATTATAAAGCAATCCAAAAAATAACTTTAGTATACCTAACATTAATTTTATTATTTAAATAGATTTTTTCAGTAAAGGTTAATATCTTTGAATTATATTTTCTGTTTCTGCTCCTTTATTAAATAGTAAGGAGATAATCTTAATTTTTTGCGTTTTTATCTAAGAGGAGTTGGTCGGGGGGTGTAGTCAAATAAATACTAAATTTTTAAAATAGTATTTTAATCTGATAGTATTAAAAATAGTATTTTAATTTAAAAATTTATTTATTTACTTAAAAAATTATAAGTTTTTAAAACTTTATTTATTTACTATTTTAAAAATTTAGTATTTATTTGCCCGCACCCCCTGACCAACTCCTTCTCATATTATATCACGGCCAACCATCTCGACACCATTTTTATATAACATCTGGAATTTTGCATAGTAATAAATTAATGTGGTACATATAGATATAAGTAGAGTTTACAAGATTATGGCTTGGTTATGTTCATAACACAAATAAAGAAACTATAATTTGGAAATGGATTCTGGACTAGTGAATACTCTTGGACTAATCAACCAAATACTGAGTTACGGTAAATTTTGTTTAATAATTATATAAAATTGGTTTTTTGAAAATATTGACTTAATCACAACCCTATTGTATTTCTTTAAGGGAGTTTCCATTTTTTTAAACTCTTTACTCCTGAAATATGAATAATTGAAAACACTCTATTCTTCTATTCAGTATTTCTTTTATAAACTTATTTAACTATTTACTCAAGTTTCTGAAATTTATTTTATGTTGTACAAAATAATTCAGTAAATGTAATTTCAGTAGTTCATTGACAGTTACTCAATATTCATTTCTTGTGATTCCTCATAAGAAATAAATATAATTGTCGCATTTAAGGTTTTCACCTGAAACCCCTAGAAGTATTTGCATATGTTCAAATATTATCTAAAAAAAACTTAAATGATTTAAATATATTTTTCATTAGCATTTATAATTTTTAAAATCAAATATTAATTCAATTTTTGAAAAATAGATTGAATTTGAGCAAATAAGTTTTCTGATACATTGCTTGTTTTAAGTATCTGTTGCTACCCATAACTTTTAAATTCTTTTATTACAATCACGCATTATGTAAGCTAAGGTAGAGCTTTCTTCTAAAATCTGTTAGATCATTGTCATGGTACGTACCTTGTCGTTCCATGTGGTAAAGCCTATTGGGACGACTGAGACTTCGATTACTGTAAACAGAAACTTGATCCCAGTCCTTGTGTGATGTGAATGCGTTGAGTGTGGCCAGTGATGAAAGAGGTCCTGGACTGGACGCTGGACAGCAAGCCACTGGCAAACCTCCCACTGGCAATCCCATCTTTCCGGAATGTCCTTCAAGAGTATGAAGCTTGCGAGAACGTCTCCTGCTGGCAGCCACAAATATTATGACAGCAATCACGACAGTCCCACAGATGGCTGCGCTTGCAGCTATAGTTATCTTATCCATGTTGTTTGTTGATGACACTACCGTCCTGACCTCTCGGCATTGGTTGTATGGCACTGTTTCAGGTGTTACGTTGATTTCTTCCAAAGAGATGACGCAAACTATTATGCACTCCTGTAACATAAAATTTTTGTTTTAAAAATACTTATTATAGTACAACGGTTAAATTAAAATTTGTATAAAGTTATTTGAAATTTAAGTGGTAAAAAATATACCATTTCATTTGCTATGTTATGTGTGTAAAAAAAAAGGGGTTGGTAATTAAAGTATTTTAACATAAGAAAGATTCCTTTCTTATTATTCCTTCTGATTCACTTTATGTGTTATATTGCATTAAACCTTTATATTATCTGGTATATTTTAACTCAAAATTTTCTTGGATAAGAGAAAATTCTTAATATTTTATTATACTATCTTAATAGCTGTACAGTTTTTTAAAAATTGAACAATTAAAATTTGTCGTAGCATATAATTTTTAAATTCCAAAACTCCAATAGAATTATGAATTCTGTATGTTATTTTACTTTAATTAAACAAAACTAAAGATTAATGATTAAATAATCAAAATACCTGAGATGGAACATTCTTGATCTTAAACTCTCTTTCACTTGCTTCAAGTGGTGGCCCTTGTTTGAAGCTCTTGTCCCCAAACAGCCTGTACACTACTCTGAATCCAAGAATATTAGCAGTTTCTGAATCCCATTGAATAATAACTGAACTATCCTGTCTGTGAGCTGATCTCACTATCACATCCTGCTGACTTCTTGGATGATGACCCAACACTAGTGGTGGTCTCTGCTGTGGCCAAGGAGTACTTCGTGACAATACAACACTACCTTTTCGGTTTGTTGTTGTTTCTGGTTTGAAGGTTGTGTGTTTAGTGGGTGGTTTTGTTGTTGTACTAGGTTTTTCTGTTGTTGTCGTTGTAGTGGTTGTTGTGGTGGTTGTCGAGGAAGTTGTAGTTGTCGAGGGCGTTGTGCTTGTTGTGGTAGAAGTTGTTGTTGGCTGGGTACTTGTACTGGAAACTGGAGGTTCTACATATGCTACTCCTACTCCTATTTCTGGGACATTCTCTTCTTCTTCAATGAGTTCTTCAATAACTGGTGTGGCTATTCCTTGTTTGTTAGTTGTACATACTAATTCTGAAAAAACAGAAGGTTTATGTTTTAGACATTCCTATATTAAATTTATAAAACAAATTATCAGTTAATTTTAAATATTTAAAACTTGATTTGTAAATATTTAAAAATAAATTTGATCACTTGTAAGTATTATATAAGTTACATTTACTATTTGTTTCTGTTTTAAATTATATGACTCTGTTTCTATTATTGATATTTTAATGTATTCATACCATCTGGCTCTATGCTGTAAAAGTTTCTTTCAGTGAATCGAGGAGGTGAACCACAAAATTGAGGATTTCTTTCCCTCGATGTTACTTGTAGATCTCCTCTTCGAATCCACTGAGCTACCCATTTTAGTCTACAGTCACAATGGAGAAATCTTCCTCCAAGACTTAGCCCTCTTAATGTTGTGTTTAAATGAGCAATGGCAGCAGCAGGTACAGTTGACAAGGGGTTCCCATCGAGGGCAAGCAGTGTTAGTGAAGGATTTCCCGAAAATGCGTCTGTAGGAAGTTCCGTCAAGAGATTGAAACCAATGTCAAGTACCTAGAATAAATATTATGTGATATTAACGGACAGATTAATATGATTAATATGACAAAAAATAGAAAATATTGGAATGTTATTCACTTACCCTCAGTTCAGCTAAAGGACGTAGTGCTCCAGTGGGGAATTCAGTTAACAAGTTGTTGAGAAGGCTGAGTGAGCTTAGGGTATCACTGATAGCTTGAAATGTTTCATCCCCAACACTCTGAATGACATTACGCTCTAAATTTAGAGCTGTCAAAGAGTGAAGACCTTCAAATATTGCAGCTGCTCCTGGACCAGGGAGATCTCGGAGTCCATTTTGTGCTAGGTCAAGAAATGCAAGAGTTTTTAGTCCTCGCACTGCTTCAGGAACTTTTTTTTGTCTTGTTCCTTTAAGATTTAAATTCTTCAGAGAAGATTCAAGTCCATTGAAAGCATTTCTACTGATTGTCAGGTTGTTATCTGAGAGTTTTAAAGTTGCCAAGTTGATTAATGTTACAAATGAATTATCTCCTACTCGGGAAATCCTGTTTTTTGAGAGATCCAATGTTGTTAAATTTCTTAATAACCTAATACTCTCAACTGGAACCTCTTCTATTTCATTGTCCTGAAGATAAAGATTTTTGAGTGTAGAATGGAGGCCTTCAAAAGCACTGGAAGATATAGTTCGGATTCTGCAGCTTGATAACTGTAAGTTAGTTAGTTTTAAATTTTTAAATGCTCCTGAATTGAGACTCTTTATTGTACTATTGTTTACATATAGAAGATCAATAGAGGTTGCTCGACTGTACTTGTCAAGTGCCCGAAGGAGCTGACCAAAATCCACCATGTCGCACTGTACCGACAGCTGTTGAAGGAGGTTGTACGCACAGATACATGATGATTGGAGTTCTGTAACTTGTTGGTCCCACGGACATTGTGCTTCAGCTGCTTTAGCTACCAGGAGGCTCCCCAATGCTAATAATACCCAAAAACCCATCACGACCTGTAACAAAAATAAATATTATACTAACCTAATGAACTGGTGATAAATGTAAAATAAAATACCTTACTTTTGAAAACAAGCATTAGCAAATTGAAAATGGGTATATTTAGCTATGGGATAGAAGAAACTTTTTTCAGTTTTTGAAATAACATATTTGAGTAATACATTTTATTACTTTTCGATAATTCCATGTTAAATAGCATTTCTATCTTTATTATTATTATTATTTTTTTATAATAAGAGATAAAAAATATTGCAATGAATGATAAAACTGAAAATGACATCAGAAATGTAAACCATTCAGTCATATACGATACACTAAAATTATGTATTTACGATAGAAATATTTCTGGGATGTTACAGCAAAAATTTTCCTGAAATTGACTTACCGTTAATGCCACTTTATAGCATTGATTTTTACCTTTTTTTCGAAAACAGCTCTAATGATATGTAAGGGTTTTGTAATGGAGAGTGATTTTTAATACAAAGAAGTTGGTTTTTTTTTTCAAAAATAACTTGGTTGGTTGTTTTAATGTTGTAGGCGCAAAACATCATTATGACTGATTAATAAAATAACACTAAAACTTAATATACAGTTTAAAAAAATGATTTTTGGATTTCAATCGGATACTTCCTAGATATTTTAGCCACAGATCTATTTACCACTAGTCTGTCTCTTTTCCAATAAGGTATTTTTAATTCTGGGATGGGTCTAATAATGTTTGTGTCCATGTTTATTTTACTTAATTTTTTTATAAATTTGCTGTTTAAATATGCTATTTTTGAAATATTTAAGTCCACTTCTTTCAGCAAGAGGGTGGCGTAAGGATGATTTAGTAAAATATTTAAGAGATAAATAATTTTTCCTCAAGTACAAAGCAAAAATTAATAAATTCAAATCAAATTGATAAATATTTAGCTGGTAAGTTAAGTAAATAAATACATTTAATTAAAAAAATAAAGTAAATAAATAATTATAAACAATTTTTTAAAAATAGTTAGATAAACAAAATCTATAAAAATGAAAATGACATTATTAAAAAAAAATTATAAAAAGAAAAATCATGCGATTTATTAGTTAAGTACATTCTCTTAAAAAATAGATTTTATTAGGAGCCTTGGAAAATTAGAAACAAAATTTACTCTCCCTCCTCTTGACCCAAACTTTAAAGTTTTAAGTTGAGTAGATTTTACATAGTAATGTGATTCTGTGGGTTTGCTTGTCCAGTTATAGGGACCTGTTTTTCAGTCACTTAGAATTTTGAGGATGAAAATTTCATTTCACGATTAATTTTATGGCAATGTTTTGAATTCTCTGCGAATTGATTACAAATCCGGGACTCGAATGATCTCAATAGATGTTAAACCATTCATGGTTGTTTTAACTCTGTGAATTTAGGAATGCTTAACTTTTCAACGAATGTATCGTAGTTGTTACGTAGTTTTGCTCTTACTCATTCTCTCATTCACTGATATATGGTTCATCTGATAAAATATTTAGCGAGGCAATGCTCTTGGACGATATAACAACTACCGTTATCTTGTTGATATAGAACTGTGATCTTTTTCTTTTCCTCTTCGGCGTTCTACTATCGAATACATGACCCAGATCCACTAGTAGCAGAGAACCGGGTGGCGGTTGTTTTCAATCCAGAGTGATCGTTCAAACGATTTTTTTCGCCTTTTCTACAGTTACGGATGATATATATCCTTCGGAATCCCGTTTCTACTATTTGAGAACGTGCTGAAGAATCTATCTTTCTTTTGAGCTGATACAGTTAATTCTCAATGAAAGATTCATAAACTGCATTAGTCCGATTAAATAATTCATTTTCAATTATAAGTTAATTTTATTAATTATTAGTTTTAGTTTAATTTTTTTTCAAGCAATTTATTTATTACATAATAAAAAAAAAACCTCTAGAATCCATGAAGGGTCTTTTTAAGGAACTACCTTCTTGGCCAATGGTTATGCAAGGTAATTTGTCCTAGATCACGCTTAACAGCTAGGAGTATTCTCTAATTGTTTATTTAATTATGAGCACCCACTTTACAGAGGCTGAGTAACTTCAGGAGGGTCTCCCGATTCCAGGATCGATCCACGGCTTTTGTTACAGAATAAATAATTACTTGCCACAGCCGGATTCGAAACCGAAATCCGGAAAATTAAAGTACAGTCCCTTACTCTCTGAGCTTCCCTATTTTTTTTTTTTTTTTTAACACCAATGATTTTTGCCAAATAAGTAAAATTAAAAAGCGAAACCACAATTTTCGTGTTCAAAATTGTGGAGTATCAGACATGGATGGGTATCCAATTATTTTTATCATTATTGTGTCCAAAATTTAAAACCTGTACCACTACAACCCATGAATGATTTTGGGTTTAGTACTTATTAAGGAAGTGCTGTTTCTAGGACAACGGATGTACAAGGAGGTGTTTGGCCGATTTCACGCTCAACAGCCAGGTCAAATTAATTAATTAAGGTTGCCCTAGTGGGTATAAAGTTATTGGGGCTAGGTCTCAAGAGAATATCAAGGACCACAGGGTCGGTCCACGACTGATTCATCGGAGAACCACAATGAAATTGTATGGCTGCTCAACTTTGTTGAGTTGCTAAATGACCCAGCATACGGACCAGTATTAATTAATAATATTTAATAAAGGAGAACAGAAAACATAAAGTTTTACGGGACTATCATCCAAAGTACTGAATGTTATAATTTATTCATAACTGAATTGTTATAATTTGCTCCTCATTTTCTTCCTTCTCACTTCTAGAGTTCATAAAGAAATTACCAGAATTAATTCATATGATGGTACAGGAATCCCAGCGAATCCAAAATAATAGATTCCGCCATACTCTGATGATGGTTCCCTTCCACACCCAACTTTTCCAAAAAAATAGCTGTTGAAAGAGGAATCGTTCTTTTACTTCCGAATATAGGGTAGAAGAGTGATATATATATATATCACTCTTCTACTGAATACATATATATATATACATACACATATATATAGAAATACATATATATATTTATATGTATTTCTATTGTTAAAAAAAAGAAAGAAAAAATAATCCATAATAATATTAAAAAAGGATCGTCAGGGTAGTTGTCAAAAATGAAGTATAAAACAGTGCAAAGATATTCCATGAATAATAACGTTTCGACAGTTTTTGTAGGCCTTCTTCAGGGTCACAAAGACAATAAAGGTGAGGAGAATATGGCGGATAGAAACTATTCTCAGACGAAACTATGAAATAAAAAACAAACATCTTTTCATTTGATCTTCTAAGTACTTTCATTTTAATCTATTTATCATTTTATGATCTTTTTGGATTTTATAATCTTTATGGTTTCTTATATTTGTTGACCTGAAGAATAATAATAGATATTTGAAGTTCATTTATATTTACTCATAGTCAAATGCCAAATGATTAGAACTTGGAAATTCAGATAATGAAATCGGAAAAAAAACCTGACCCAATTTTTTTCACCCAGGAGCAATTAGAGAGCGGTTTTAGGATGGAATATCTGGTTTGTTGACATTTTTTTGGGTTTATTAAAGTAAAAAATGCAACAAAAAATAAAAAGAATAATTATTTCTTGACTACAGTCTGTGTATATATCAAGTGCTGACAACTCTGGCTCCGCTGGACCAAGAATTATATCTAAAAGCTATTTAATTTTTTTTTTTAAGATCTAGTAAACTGTAGTCTTGAAAATAGTTTTACTTTTATGGAAATTATAGTTTCGGTCAAGGCGCTGTTACATCTGGAACATCCAAAATTATAATTTGTTACGTGATACGCATGGGCTCGTTTGTCATTCAAACGTCGTTTAGCAACACATCGGGAAAATTCAGTTATGACACATACCAACATGAATGGACGCAAGAACAAATGAAGCACTCGAAGAAGCGGCCTGTTCCTGGGAAGGTTCCAGTTCTCATGGAATTTCCTCATCTTTGAGAACTAAATTTATTGTAATACTTGCTCAATTTTACTTTTGAGCTGATGGCTTTTGTTTCTTTCGTTTTAAAGTTGTATTCCTTTCAACAATGTTTCTCTCTCCGTTGTTATATACAACAGAGACTCTTCTAAATTTAAGTTGTCATACCGATCATAAGGCAGATGTTATAGAATTCGGGGTTAGCTTTAAAAGTTGCCTCGATACGCCGAATATCGCTGATTTGAGCTGAAAATTGACTGCTGTTAGACACAGGATAGAGGACTTAGAAAAACAAAATAATATTCAATAATGTCTTCATTCGAGTTTTTTACTCTACTCAGGACTATGTTCAGTGGATACTGTTACACCCTATCTTAATAATAGTTTTGACATTGTGACTATAGGATAAATTTTTCGATGTAAGACTGAATTGCTCGATTTAAGCGTAAAGCCATGGGTGGTTGAAAGCAACGATGACTGTCCAGGATGTAATTCCCAAGAAAAAGAGAATATCATTCACTTTTTTGGGACTTGACATATGTACAGTCAGATAAGAGAAAAATGTTTTGGACGGCAGATCTGTTCTCCAGAAGAATTATTTGGTTTATTAAATGGCCCTAACTGGAAAGCCTTAAGCAATTATGTACAGCATACCACATTGCAAAGATCTCAATTAGTCAGTTAGTGAACAATTGGTACAATATCGTATTTATTTGATATAACGTTTGTTTTTATTGTTATTATTATTATTATTATTATTGTTAAAATCAAATTACTTATTTATTGGATTTTATAAGGTATTAATGTTTGTTTTTTAAATCTCTATTTTAAAAAATGAAACAGTGAGGCAAGAAATTGCTAGAAAGGAGGGATAAATATATCATAATATTGTTGATATATTATTACTCATTTATTATGCTTATAAATATTTGTTATATGTATGTTTTACTTTTTATCTATTTAAAGTACAATAAAAACGTTTTCTATCACGTTTTCAAAGTAGATGCTTGAAAATGAGATTAGAAATTATTAAGATTATTGGTTGCGGA